CATTTCCAGCTCCGCGTAGTAGGATTAGCGCAGACTATAAGTGAGTGCCATCGATACCGATCGCGCAATTGAGCTAATCAAAATAATTATTGAATGAGCGTACCCGCTTCCTCGTCGTGCACAATGGTAGAATCCTCGCTAAGCGCGGATCGGTTAGGGACCCTGACTGTTATGGACAGAGAGTGAGGGTGTAGAAGGTACGAGTGCATAATGCCTACCTAGTGGTGGGATCACACCAAACCCTGCAGCTGATCGGGTGGAAGCGATTGAGATATAAGTAGAAATATTCAAAGAACTTTTTTATATTGTGGTGTGTAAGATACCTGCCTAGTCTATATTAATAGAACACGTGACTTAAATTCACATAAGTAGTCGACATGCAATTTGGTGTTACGTGTAAACGCGCTTAGCACAACGTTACAATAGTACCGTCAAATAACAGTTTACTACTATGGGAGCTCACTAATTGTATCTTCCAAAGCCGATCGTCCGTGCAGCTACGACTGGGCCGCTCCACCTTAAATTAGTTGGTCAGCCCAACGGAACGCCAAATGCTAACTACCTAGTGAAATTAATTCTCGGAAACACTAAAGGTCTCAGGCCTTTTCCCAACAGTGGGCCTCGGTCGCGGGCAACTGATTGGTCACTATCTGAGTGCTCAGCTAACACAGAATGACTCATATTGAATCATGTACTAGCCACCCATTTTGCATAGTAGGTGTAGTTCGTACTTCATCGACCTGTGAGCTGGAGATGCTATTCTTGTACTATCAGCAGCTTCACGACGTAATTACAACATATCAACACAATATATACCGATAAAGTACAAAGAGAAATAGAGGGAAGGAAATTATTTCAACACTTGTGTTATTGAATCACGTTTGAGCTAGTTAACTTGGTCTTCAGCATGGCGCCGTCTCAGTTGTATTCTCAACTATACAACCTGGGTAAGAAGCACGGTGAAGGCGACGACATTTAAGCATTAGGAGCCCGGACGCGAAGCATGACTGGGGCCACAACCCACTCGTTTCTCTGAATCCGACTTTGCAAAGCGTCATGGATAATGAAGCATTTGCCGCTCACCTCAAATCCACTTGACGCTTATCAACCGTTTTCGATCCCAAATCCATGACATTTCCGTCGACGAACACCAACACATGGCAACGATCACGATGAGCTGTTACCTTTCAACTATAACCTCGGACGAAGAGAACGATATGATATGGACACTAAAGTTTAAAAAAGCAAGGAAAGATATAGGGGGACCCTAATGTGGTACTCATCAAGGAGAGTACTGAGTTCGTTGACGCCACGGCTAATGCGCATTTAGGTATATTGATCGAAGATGCGCAAATTGAAATAGGAAAGGATATCCAGGGGTGTTTAGGCATTGTCTCACTAAGACTTAGAGGCAAACCAATCAATAGATTCTAGACGAAGAAAACATACTAGAGGAGAGAGATAAGTTAATCATGTAAGCGATCAAGTAATCTATTAGATGGATCGTGTGTGCTGTGTGGGCTATACTTCTCTTAGCCTCGATCCTGGTTAGGGTGAGGAAGATGCTTAGTAGTAAGCCGCATCATTGCCGAGAAATTTGGATAGAAAGGAGCTATTGTTAGATGACTCTGATATAGGACCAGAGGCTAACTCTTAGGACCTTATCGGAGACCCCTCGGGCCAACAGCGCCCCAGAAATATGTAGCATATATATCTCATTACTTAGGGCTAGATTTTTTGCTTTACCGCTCAGACAGGACTTGCTATCTCTATAGCGTCAACGCTAGGAACTCCATTAGGGAAAGACTGGGAGGTGTCGTATTTTACGATCATCATACGGGATGCCACGGAAATAACGTACGAGCAGATCTGTCAGCTCGAAAATCTCACCATCATCCTAGATGGCCGTTAAAATTTGCAATATATTCATGCTTCCGAAGTTTATTATCCTCTAGGAGAGCTGCCAGAAAGGTGACTCTGAAACGGGGAGATAGTAGTACCTCCTGCGATATCAGTCCAGGAATGACTCTCACCGGACAAAGACATACCATCGCAAAAACACTACCTAGAGACGTCTTGCACTTTGCATTCTAGGTCCTCTTCCAGCCCAGTTCACGAAATATCGCCATGGATGAAGCAAGTCATGATGAAGCATACAATGCAAGAAAGCCGAAATGATGATCTCCACATGTGGGGATGCTTGTGGATCCTATCTGAAAAAATATTTTCTTCACTCTACAACTCTTCTCGTATATGGTCCGCCTGATATGGCAAGAATTTTGTAGCAAAGTGTTCTGTCGAGGTCATTCGCTGCAGTCATGTGCTTGATCGGAAGAATAACGTGACCTTTTCGTTCCAACAGTTACCATGTCCTCTATTCCAACAATCGAGCATTAGGTCTATTTTACTAAGATACACCTACACGTAGGAGAACTTTTAACACGGTTACAGACCTTGTAGCGTGTTGGCCGGCGCAGTCAAAGTTCAACATCACTTTGGGGACACCTCAACTATGTGTGCACTGTCTTCATGATTCGATGAAGTAGATCATGGTGCGAAGCTCAAACCTACATGCGGTAAGTGCTGAGGCGTCAAAGCTTTGATCGAGGCAAAGGTCGAGGAGAGAAGCTGGGTTTGAATTTGTTTTTGAGAACTCCTAGAGTTTCTCAGAATGTGTAAGCAATATCTAGATAAATGCATTGACATGATTATTTGCGACGCTTCAGCGGTGGTGGTGGCTACTGACATTTCTGGACGTCGAGATAATTGCGGTTACGTGACTGCTTTTGTGGAGAACGCTATACGTACGTGGCGGTGACTTTGCTGTCATGCATGATGCAATTGTTTCTTGTTCTAGTCTTTGAATCGTACCACGAAATGCTCGGCGTGTAGCGATTTAGCTTATCGCACCAAACTGAGTCATCTTACTCTACCCAAAGTTACCTGCATGTTATTCGCCTACGACGTGTTGGCTCTACCCATTCTACATCTTCAGCCAGATCGCACGAGAGCCTTCAAAGTTTCATCCTGAATATCACTTTCCTCTCATGAGTTAACAGTAAGATGAATATTTTTCGACGTATCGTTGTATCAAGTATGGCTTCTTCGTGCAGTGGGTCTATGGTATTCACAGTCGGGTAACTTGCATCCGTAAACTCGGGTGTTGTTTGTTATCAAGAGTGTGCTGATTCGAACTCAAGAAGTAAAATGCATGGACTGTGAACATTACACTAGTGCTATTCTTGCGCAGGCCAAATTCACGGCAAAAAAACAACGCACACCATCAGATTTTTTTTAGTAAAGTTGCTTGGCGACATTTACCATGAACATGTCGTCTGCATTGCATTCTTCGATCCAAAAACAACCAGATAGTTTAAAACCTAGCGTAAAATTTGATTCCATCAAGATAACTCATAATTCATTCCTGCCTTCTGAATCGTGCACTAAGCTGTGCAGGGTATGTCGGTCGGCGACTTCGGCGGACTAACAACGAAGTCATCATATGCGACGAGACTCCCACTGTGGGGAGTGAGGTTTGGTGAACCGTTGGTACCTTTGGTCACAGTGAAGCGACTCGAGTAGCTGCAATTTTGAAGTTAGCATGATTTCATGAAACTGCCATGGTGCTCGATGGGTGGCGGAGGTGGAACGTACTACGCCAGAGAACAATTGCCACCATCAAAAGTTATCTCAATGACACCAAGCACCTGGTAAGTTTTTTGCGCAGCCGTCTCCGAGGAAACAGTGGTCACATTAGGCAAATGATCCCAATGCTTGTTGCCCGCTGTCGGGAGTAGCGCCTGTTTCAACGCGACAATCTGCTCGGCCCCGGTGGCAGTGTTCTCAAGAACAATGAGCTTTCCATCCGCGGTAAAGAAATCGGTGAACTTTGTTGTAGCAGCGGGGTCCTCAGCAGACGCATAAAGCCTATAAAGGAAAATTAGTGATCTACCCTCTGAATGTACATGCAGGGGACTTCTCAGGGAGCATACTCTTGCAGAAAGGGCTTGAAAGCTGCATCAACTCCAGTTCCTGCCGAGTATAGAGACATGTCAACTGAAGCAGCCATGCCAACAAAATACGCAGGAGCGATGATAGATAGAAGCTTCATTCTGGTGACTCTTCGATTGATGGTAAAACAAGACAAATGTGTAATGCATCATCATATGTTTGGGGGCTGGGAGTTTTTATACCAGGCACGCCAATACCGCCGCTGAATTACTCCATGGAAAGGATTCCTTCTCGACTCACACCGGCTCCTTTCAGCATCATTAAGAATGGAGTAATCTAAAATATCACCGCCTGGGTTTCGCCCGCTAACCATCCAGACTATAGTCGGGCCGAATCGCCTAATCGGGCCGGACAAATTGTGTACTTACACTTCACCATGTGACACTGGTAGCCCGTGAAGGGTCTTGTCGAGACGTTTGGGCTATTTTACAGTCTAATCTTCCTACTCATTACTATAAATATCACTGAATCATTGGTCTTTATTTGCTTCTACTACTTCTTTGGTTTTTGTGTATGGAGTGATGGTACAAGACTTCCAAACGTGGTAGGGCTGCGCGTAGGAATAACGGAGATTACTCTTTTCGTACTCGAAGGATGATAGAAGTGGAACTGCTTGAATCATGCATCAGTGGCACTATTCTATTCCGAAGTTAACTGGGGCAATTTTTGCACACGGTACAAGGAGTACCCCTGACAGATTTAGCTTTTGAGATCTAGTGCGTAATGCTACCGGATTTACCGGTGTTCTGATACAAATATAAAGGATTCTGTGAGTGAAGCTTTGGTTTTGGTAGTCACTAGTAAACATTCTCGTACACTACTAGACTTCGGAACTTTGAGTATCTTTCTGTACTGTTGTACTAGCTACTGTGGTTTTTAAAATATGGGTGGGATAGACAGTATGTCTCTCCCAGGCAATGCACCTGGCTCTAATTAGTATCTGTGAGACTATAGCTACAGATCGGGACAAAAGAGCCCAGACGCTATCTTTACTCTACCCTAAAATACCCTGTATGGCATGAGAAGTCATTTTGAGACGGAGGCTGCTTGATATCTTTGAAAAGAAAATGATCAATAAAGCTAGCAGATTCTGACTTGACAAATGATCCGCCCTGGACGCTGAACTCCTCAACCCAGGTCACTGGTGCCTGCATTTTCGCACTTGCAATCTCAACAAATGTCTTAACAAGCGCAGTAATCGCACCGTCGACCATATCTGTAAAGGCATAGTCGATTTTGAAGTCGGTCAAATAAGCGGGGCCGTCACTGTGGCCAAGGCGTCCCCTCAATTTGCCCCATGTGCCCCCACCAGTGGCGGGATACCCGTAGATGGTGTTCCAAGTCGAGGCCATGCTCGCAGAAAGACCGTGCACTCGTCTCTTTGAGGTAAGTTTGAATGCTCGCCTTTATTGTGGAGAACTCACAATGTAGCGATTGTCTACAAGGATATCAGTGGCAACGTCGCGCTCAGTGATCGCACGAGACATGACGAGGTGCCAATAATGAGGATATCTGCAAGAATAAGAGCTGGAGGAGAAATGATCCCATTCCCACAACACACCGTTGATACAGTTGAAAACACAAGTCCTTATTCACAACGCTTTGCTCGCCTAATCGGCGATGCCACTCCTTCCACGCCCAGGCGTCTTGAACGTCATGGACTGCACCTGTTGCTCCACCAGTCCGGCAAGCGCTAGTGTATCCTTCGGATTAACCACAGACTGCTATTGGGCTAATTGGGCTGGAACTAAGGGCGCTTACTTTAACGGCTATTGTGCTGCATGCAAGGGAAAATGACATCCACGTCTTGGTACTAGTTTGGAGCATCTTGCGTAAGAGAACATTTAGTGGTATGATGATCGTGGCAACGATTAATTCCTGAAGCGGCTGGTTCTGAAAGTGGGTTATGATGCAGGCGCTATCGAACAAGTATGGCAATATTGTTTGACTCCCATGCTTGCATAGTCTTCACTGCCGCACTCATGGTTGCTCTTCTGCATAATTGTCTTTTGTTGCTCGTCGCAAGCACTAGTGCATACAAAACTACATATGTAAAGTACGGCCAGTCATCTTTCAAAATATGTCGGCTAAAATTCACATCGCATCCAGTTGACACTCCAATCGATCAGAACACACGGATCCTACAGTAATTCATTATGGAAAATATATCTGCCATTGATGTTCACACACGTTGTACTACGGAGGGAGAAAAGGAAATTCAATCAGGATTTATCATATCCACATTGACTCAACTCTGTGAGTCTCATTAGGTGGGACTGTGGGCACATCGTAACAACGATAATTTGGAGTCTTTGCAACCAGGTCTGAGAGCAGAATAGAGAGATTTAGTTACGCGCACGTGATGTGAGCAATGAAAGATAAATAACTGCCTCAATCCTAAAGTGTTGACATGGATTACTTTCTAGTTATAACAATTACGACGTACTTCCAGCATTATTGCCTGGCATATCGCAATATCTAGATAGCTACTAGTTTATGACTTCCTCATGTCTCCATCCTTACATCCTTCATTTTCGCCGTTGCAAACACTGCTATGCTATGCTTGATGCTGATGCCACTTTGGAAACCCACCCTATCTCGCAGATACAGACCCAGCACAGCAATGCAACTAACCAAAAGTTGGGATTATTAGCGATTATAAGGGTTTCCAAGTACTTGCATGTAAGTAGAGTGTTCTGGTAATCTCTTGTTGCAGGATTGGATATCTATAAAACTACGTATCTAGGAATGATTACTAGGAAAAGTGCATGAGACTAAGACAGGTGATAGTACCTGCTAGCCCCTTCAACCACGCAGTGTAATCTAGATCGAGTTGTATTACGTTTGAATATTTACCCTTCTTTAATGTGTTCAAAAACAGAATTAAAGGTATACAATTCCATGTCGTACACGAGTGTTGACAGTCATTGTTCGTCTCAACGAACATACCCGTTGGCATTACTGTGTGGAGCCGCTTTAACAAATGGTTGAATCACAACGGCGGAATGCGAAAATGCGTATTTGGCTCGAATGTGCTGCTCGTGGAGGTTCCTAGTATCGATTTATCTCTCACCATCTCTTTTCTCTTAGACACTTCGCTGACCCATGCTAGGTTTTCTTATCGCCTCGCTACATTCACAAGTATCATTCAGCGTCTATCCCTTTGATGGGCTCTTTTTTTCATTGATAGCAACTAGGATCATGCAATAATGATGGATGGAAAAGATCAAGTCGATGCTACCTACTTGTTGTTTCCGGTAGCGACACCCCAAAAGTACGCCGCCCATGCACCAGCGATGAGGAACAGAAGTGCAGTGAACAAAGTTAAGCTGACGCGTCGGTTCTTCCTGCCTTGGGCCCCACTGGCAAAAGCTTCCTTCCGCTCATTGATGAGATCACCTTTGGTTAGTCTATTTCTTCGAGTCCATTGTAGATGACCGATGTCTGGGTTGAAGACGCCGCATGCCACCAGGGCAGCCGCAACAACAACAGATCCAGCAGCGAGTATCACATACACAATGACCACGTTATCATAGGAGTTGTCGTCTCGATCTTGAATGACACCGGTGATGATGCGGATAATGATGTTCATGCTATTGTTCACAGCAATCTTGACCGCATATCCCGAACCAAAGACCTCTTGATACCACATGGACGTGCGGATTGAATCGATGATGACGGTTGGCCCGAACATGGATGCGACACCGAATATGCCAAACGAAGCCGCTGTCCCACCAATGGTCGGACCCCAAGCGGCCAAGCACATGGAAATAAGCATGCCGATACCGCAGAAAAGCATGAGAGAGAGGCGGTTGCCAAGCAGGTCGACGAAGATACCGATCAGCGGTACCAGGAAGAAACCCAGGTATTGCGACATGGCCGAGTACCAACCAGCTGTTACTGCATCGATATTGAAACGTAGTTCGGCCATTTCAGTGGCATTCTGCGAGTAAACGGCTGCTGTGCTTGTCTGGAAAAGTGAAAAGGCAACGATTCCCCAAAAGGGCCAGGGGAGCCTCAGCGTTTTGCCGATTTCAAACTTCTTGTTGCTCTCCGTCAACTTTTCACCCGTTGCTGGATCAGCAGTACCGGCATAAATTTTCATACACCATCGCGCGAAGAACCAGTAGATGAGTGTCATCAAGTTGGTGAAAAGGTTCATGAAGACCGCTGTCCAATACACCCAGCTAAAGTCTCCAGTCTTCTTTGCGATAACATTTGCGGTCGCTTTGCCGACGAAGGATCCAATCTTTCCGATTCCGAGCTCGAACCCAAGCGTGGAAGCGAAACCGTTTGAAGGGGCGAACCATGAGCTGAAGATTTTGTACTGGGCGACCTGGGTAGCGATGTCTCCAAACGCCTGTACGACAACCCCAAATATCATGAATTTGTAAGATCGCACCGTCGTCGCAGCAGCGATGAATATGGCGCCAATACTGTAAATGGCGTTGCCGTAAAGCATGGAATCTATAGTCAGTTGTCAGTCTCGGTAACGTTTACGCGGGGGAAGGGGCACCGACTTGCACCACCAATTCTATCAGTGACAAGACCGCTAACAAGAATGAGAGCCGTTTTCATGAAATCTTCGCTCGCCTCGAGGACGGCATACTTGGCGTTGTTGATGTGCAATTGCTGTTTACTGTCAAACATGCTAACAACAAGCTGTGAGGGTTGTTGATGATACCTTTTTCAGTGTGCTCTTCATTGCCCCTGTCACACCGCTGCTCCAATGGGATCCGAACCCAATCGCCGTGACCAAAAGAACTGCAAACAGCTTCATCTTCATGGGAACGTCAGTAGTTTGGACAACAGACGCGCCGCTGCTTGAAGCTTCCACATTGCTGCTCTGCTCTTCGGCATTGTGAGTTGGGCCAGACTTTTCGTTAACAATGCCATGTCCATGACCGATGGCGGAGGGTTTGGTGTCCATGGTCATAAGACGTGGCAGCCGTCGAGAGGAGGGAGCAGCCACTTGATCAGATAAGATGAGCAGCCGGGGCAGTAGTGGCAGGCGGGTTTTGTATGATTGTCTGGGACGGGTTGAGTTAGGCTAAGCCTATGGCTCCACCATCAGCCCAGTGTGCGTTTCGGCCCTTTCTCTCGTACCGTGGCTTGACAGCCCATAACGCAAGAGTGGTTGAATGTCTCGGGCTCAGTAAGCATTCTCTCAGGTTCATGACAGCAGCAATGGCTGACGGACTCTTGCCCAGTGCCCTCTACACAAGTTTGTCCTGTCGAACTGGCTCCAGTTGCAAATGCTGAACTGTACCGCGTGGGTCTTACTCTACATACATGACGACCCTCACATGCTTGATACCCCAAGCTTCCAAGGCACATGAGGAGCTAACGGCTCGGGGTCGCCAAAGGGCATAGTATCCAGGGCTGTGGACCGTGCCAGTCGAAAATTTTATCAGATCCTGCATGATAAGGTGCCTGGCATGGTGTGTCAGGGAGCGTTGCGATATCGGGCTAGTCATGTGCCGAAAGCGGAAAGCGGGATGCATCTTGGCTGTGTTAATTCGTCTGGCCGTGCTACTGCGTGCATTTGATGCAAATTCAGGCACAAGTTGATACGGATATAGGCAGCCCAATTGTCTCGAACCGACGAAGCAGAGAATGGGTAGGCGATGGATGGACCGACGCGAGCGAGGATGATGAGACGGCCATGGCGAAAACGCGTCGCCAACGTCAAAGCTGGCGGGTTTCCTTGGCACGCTAGCCTTGTTTGACGCCAATCCACTGCGGCCAATCGGTGATGTTTGGCTTCTCACCACCCACACTCCGTCGAGGCGTGCTGTATGGATGGTAACAGCCAGCTGAACAGGTCCATGCGCCGCTGCTATCTTGTCAATCTAGAACGTTGGCAATAGTCCATCGAGTGGACGTTGCTGGGCCAAGCGATACCACTACTACTACGTACATAGCGCGTCTGGCCATTGACACGCAGAATTTGCAGGCAGGTGATTGGGCACTGGCAACATTCGACCAACATTCGGTCATCTCGAGCTTCCACCCAAACGAAGAAATGGCCGATTTCCAGAGTGACAGCAATCGGTTTTTGGCCTGGTTCAAGGAGAACGGAGGCGTGTTCCGCAACGATCTCCTGCAAATTCGAGACCTAAGGTCCAAAAACGCCGGTCGCGGCATCAGTACGTTGAACATCATCGCAGCCAAGGAGCCATGGCAGCGTTGACTTTTGCGCAGTTGCCAAGCAGGATATCCCAGAAGACACCACCCTCTTCACAGTACCAAGGAACATCATCCTTAGCACACAAACGTCGGACCTTGGCGCGAAACTTCCTGGGATATTTGAACAACATGTAGATGGGAATGACGACGACGATGGGGACGGCCAGGACCATGAACCCGAATCATTGGATTCATGGGGCTCACTGATCCTCGTCATGCTATACGAGTACTTGCAAGGTGACGCTTCGCCATGGAAACCTTACCTTGACATACTTCCGCAAGCTTTCGAAACCCCGATTTTCTGGACAGCAGATGAATTAAAGGAACTCGAGGGCACATCTCTCACAACGGAAAAGATTGGGAAAGAAGAAAGTGACCGAATGCTGCGTGAACGCATTCTGCCTATTGTCACTAGCCATCCCAATGTATTTTTTCCGCCCGGTGCCCCTCTCCTAAACGAAGAAGACCTTCTGCCGCTCGCACATCGCATGGGTAGTACCATCATGGCATACGCTTTCGACCTTGAAAATGAAGACGAGCAATCCGACGATGAAGAGGATGGTTGGATCGAAGATCGAGATGGCAAAAGTCTGATGGGAATGGTGCCCATGGCAGACATGCTCAATGCCAACGCCGAATTCAACGTAAAGTTCCCCACCTTTGCATAAGAGTCGCGCTAACACGGCGCTCTCGTAGGCCCACGTCCACCACGGTGACCAGCTGCAAGTCACCTCCCTCCGCGAGAGCATCCCCGCCGGATCGGAGATATTGAACTACTACGGGCCTTTACCTTCATCCGAGCTACTTCGTCGATACGGTTACGTGACGCCTGAACACCACCGTTATGATGTTGCTGAACTCCCTTGGAGTCTTGTCCGCACTGCACTTGCCGAAGAATTGAACCTATCAGAAGATGTCATCGCGGACGTTGAAGTAAGAATTTTCTTGTCATCTGCCAACACTCGTAGAGATATGCGCTGACATCAGTCAAGGGCGAAGTTGAGAGGAAGCTGGACTCGGAGCTGGAAGAGTTTTTCGTCATCGAACGCGACGCGGGCGAGCCGTCGTCATATGGCACGTTTACCCAGCCACCAGTGCTTCGTGAAGTCTCATCTGAACTCGAAGAACAAACAAAGGCTTTTCTAAAGGCTCTGAATAAGCGAGACCCAAAGAGAAAGCGCGGCACGGTCATATACGATACAGTCTTAGAGAAAGCGTTAAGGACAAGGTTGGGGCAATACCCTACCTCAGCCGAGCAAGATGAATCACTCATTAGTAAACAAGATCTAAGCAAAAGGCATCGAATGGCGGTCCAAGTAAGGTTGGGCGAAAAGCGCTTGTTGCAGGAAGCATTAGACCTGGTCCGAGCCGGCAAGAATACGGTGCGTGAGGACGAAGAGGAAGCACGAGCAGAAAAGAAGGCGAAACGCGCATCTTGAGCAGTATCAGGGACAAACATGATTGCCGCCTTATGAATCTGGTCTACACTAAAACTCTTAGATGATCGAGGTCACCTGTTGTTTCATATGTGCCCATCTTGATCGTATACTGACTTGACATGACAAATACGTTCCATCCATTCTATCAGCGGAGACGCTATAGATGCTTCTTTTTACCTCATTCTTTCAACCATCGGAAAAGACACTGGGGGGAAAGAGAGCAGCCGATGTCCAGGGATTGTTCGCTCTCCGACGTGAGCGCGAATTCACCATTACTAGATATATCGTGTCCAGAACTCCACGGCTGCCGAAAATGTGATTGCACGCGTTGAGCATACTTTCAGCAGCAACTATGGAAGGAAGCAGTCATCGCAAAGAAATCTCACAGCAGGCGTAATGCCTAGCGTAATGCAACGTCATTGCATTTTCCTTTTTCACATTTCTGTCCTGACCCATCCAGTGGTTAACAAACCACTCCAGTATTCTTCATCCGTGTACGCTTGTGAATCATTTTGGACTGGACAGCGACGTCAGCAAACATCACCGTTCACTTTGTACAGTACCTTATTCCCCGCTTTGCACCTTCGAAGCAGCATATCAGGCCAATTGTGTTCGAAGATAGCGCACCCAACACCCTTGAACTCCTGCCGATACTCATATCCTTTTCACATCGAAATTCACATTCACGGAGTAGAGGGTAGCAGATTTCAGCGTCGGACGCATTACGCACGATCGCCCACGATCAGAACCCTCTTCAAGGCCTGTTTTTGGGAGCAGAATTATCGTGGCAATGTCGTTGGCAGAACCCACATCGGGTGCCTCCCCTCTGGGATCGTCGGGCTCTATATCTAGCCTTGATCTGGCAAGAGAAGAATCATCGGGCGACGAAAGAAAATCCCCTCATTTCCCCCCACCAGACAAGGACACATTCCCTACCGAGCAAGCATTTTTAGACAGTCTGATTCCCGTACCTTTGGAGACTGTTGAGCATGACGATAGAGAATGCATATTCTGCCAAACGCGTTATGGGGAGACCCCAGATTCAGGATCGGGCACCCCAGAGATGCCAGTCAGATTACGATGCACTCATGTCTTTGGCGAACAATGCGCACGTAGACATTTCGGCCAACGCTTAATTATCGACTTCTCTCTTCGTCCACTAGAACTCCGCCCGAGGACCAGAGGCAACGTCCTGATCTCGAAGCTAGATCGCTACGCTGGAGCGATGAATCAATACCTAGGCGACTTCAACCTCTTCAAAGGTCTCCTTGATAATCTCTATGATACCAGTCGCTTAAATCAGTTTTTTGGACCATAGTGGGGTCCCATCATGGATCAATTACGCGAATACATTGGCGTGGGAGATTGCGACAAGGTTACAATAATGGAAAACGCTGTGTTGGTGCACTGGCAATCACCTGTACCGGACACGGATCCGAACCTCATTGTGGGCGAATACATTCTACGGCTTTCCTCTCTTGGGCGTTTTCCGCCATTTTTCCTTGTTTCGTCTGCAGCAACAGACTTTGCAACGTCACAACATGCCAGTGAATCGGCGGCTGGCAGTGAGGGCACAAATGACAACGTGGCTTCTCATGCATCAACGATGCTTCTTGGAGGTTCTGATGAATTGAAAGAACAGGGTAAGCATTTTCACGTTCAGGATTAGCTCTGGCTGGAGTATCTTCGCACGCACCACGATTGACTTGAGGCAGCAAAGCAGAAACGCTTAAAGGAACGATTTCCTGTGCTGGTCGCCAATGAGTTGGCCAGGATCTACGCAGAATTTCGGCAAAGCCGTAGTGCGACGGCACCTGACGGGGTGGATGCACCAGGTTGCAAAGGTCCTTACCTACGCCCGGTCAACATCAAAGTGCACAAGAACGCGCCTTCACAGTCAGTGTACGAGGTGGAGCAACTCGACGATGAAATGTTGGATTTTCACTTGATGGATGACGACATGGACAATGACGACATGGAAGATGAAGTCAGAATCAGTTACCTGGTCCCATTCATCTGCCGCACAAATTGCCGCGATGCATGCTGCAAATATGATGACGATGAGATTGATGAGATTGAGAGGCTGGTTGATGCTCCGCCGCCATCCCTTCTATGGTGGAAGGACGAAGAGAATCACCCAACTACTTGCCCTTTTTGCCGCAAGGTCTTGTTTCTCAAGGGAGGCGATACCCGCGTCACACGTATACCAGATTCACAAACTGCCAATGATGGTACTGATGATAGCGACCATGCGTCTGCTGATCGCGAAGATGGCCATTCCATCCAAAGCCATGATGACCGTAGTTCACACTCTCGCAATGAGTATCTGAATTCCAGTGACGAACACCGAAATTCCGATTCTAGTGGAGAGTCAGATCCCTCGCTTTGACCCTTTTTCCTCCTCAGGATTTTCTCTCTCTTCGTACAAACACTACACATTGTTTTGGTTGGGGTATCTCCGTGTTTTCAGTACGTTGGCATGGGGTATTGTACATCGGCTATCGGGTTTCCGGTTTGTTGTGCTCTTAAAAATCAAACGGTCAGCGTTATTCCTCCGCCGGCAGAACACGAGTTATGGAAGTAGTAATTTCACCATGCAAGTTAACGAAGAAGCGTGTCCATATGGTGAACTGGTACATGTTTGAGACGGCATGCGGCGCCTGGTCCCCTTGATGATGTCCAAGAATTGATAGAAGAAAACAAAGGCCGGTGTATTGCTTCTGCCGGCTGTAAAGACAACAAGACGTCCAAAACTCTTTCGTGTACCTTTCGCACTCATTACATCTTGCTGCCCCGCTACCTATCCCTCATTGCCCCGTTCCGCTCTGCAGCGCCAATACATTTGCCAGCGCCCACTCTCACCCCTATTCCATCATGCACAACTCCCATGTGCACTCTGATGTCTCTCTTGAGCTCTCTTATCTCTTCCCTCCATTCTTTCATTTTTCCTTCAAGCAATTCCACTTGCGCGCTGAAGACGCGATACATGAGGAAGAAGAATAAAGCGTTGAAGGCGGCGCATACCAGGTTTTCTTTCAAGGTGCTCATTGGTGTTTCGGAATTGGCTATTCCCAAGTCCCAAATGAGGTGGATGAGGGTGCTCGGGTGAGCTGATTCTGCGGATATTGGTAGGGCGATGGAACACTGGAGGGGCCGTCTTTGAACGATGAGCCGATGGTTGTGGAGACTGGAACACTCAGTGCAGTGATGTTGCTAACAGAAGTTCCCTAGGATTTTGAAATTTTCTATCAACCTCTGCTGTGATCCATGGCAGCTTATGTACCCTCTGCTGCCGTGAATCGGGAAACCTGCGGTTACAAATACCCGCAGCAGCGATAATTGCCTCATGCAAACGACAAGTCACAATGCGCAATTGGGTAGAGTTATTTGATCATACCGCAAGACGAGTATCGAGCTTTGTAGAGAAGGGGGATGTTTTGTTTTAACGGTCAAGTATTCCATTACCTAAGCGATTCCCTAGACGAGTAACTGCGTGAAAAGGGGGAAAATGCCGCAACGCAGAAACAAGACTGGTGATGATCAGGCCACCGAACAAAGGCGTATGGTTGCTTGCTGAGTATGGGGTTGATGCAGAAGGAAATACGAGGGTTGATCTTACGCCTGAAAGTTCTAATGTGTGCTTGAGATGGTGGTACTACTATGCCAAGAAATCGACAATGAAGTCCAATCGGGACAAGGCTTACTAGGATACTCCACGGCTGTGGACTATTCAGGACTTTGATTCTCCACAAGATTGACTTCCCAGTCTCATTTCGCATAGTGTTGTTTCCCGTTTTCTGTCACGCCAAGAGGCAACTAGGAATCTGTGGCAGCAGTTGTATGACATTGGCGTACACGTCATGTATGGTGATCGGCGGATAATTGCTTCTTCTGTTCCGTCTTGCCCAAAACGTACACACGAACCTTGCAGCCACGTGGGTGTTGCATGGCCTTCTTTTTCGAGATATGGGGGCTGGTTTGTGTACAAGATTAAATCCCTTGGTGACTGGCGACGGCACAACTACTCCGAGGGATTAATGTACTCCTGTCTTTATCACATACTGCATACCATGAAACATGGCAAGGCTTGCAGATTACTTGCTATCAGATTTCGGCCCCAATCAGGGGGCTCTTTCCCCCACGCATGCGCTTCTTATCCAGCGCAAATACGTAAAACGTGGCTAGTATCACACAAGGATTCTCATCCTAGCCTTGCAGTTAGATAGTCGCGTGTGAAGTCTCGGTGTCATCTAGTTTTGCAGTCTCCTTAGCCGGGCATACTGCCTATCCCGTGGCTCGCTTCGATGCCATCATGGCCTGAGCGGCACCTGGCAGCCCCCAATGCCACCCACCTCCACATTGAAACGAAACATGCCAGGCAACCGCAACATGTCTCCGTCTCCGTCGCATGGCTTCTCCATCCTTCTCCACTGCGGCCCGTCTCTCGTGCTGCGTGCCGTAGTGAGACGAGGGGCCCAATCTTTCTCCGCTAAGTCCACCAGCACCACTCCCGGGCTACTTAGTGTCGCAAGATTCCAGATCCTTTAAGCATCCAGCCGGAATCCCGGCAAATAGTACGGACGCAATACTAGGCCAAAATGAAGATGCACACGACTGAGAATAGATAATCGAAGGACTCCTACATACATACTCAGCGGAAGAAACTCCCCGCTTCGAGCATTTGCCATCATCCCTACTGATCCCACGGACTTGAGCGAAAATAATTCCATCTTCCCCCATGTGTTTATTTGCAACAACGAACCGTCGGTACTCAGCAATGAGAAACATCCTCTAAGACACGGATCGTGTGCACTGTTCACCCACCCTTCACCAGCATTCTCCAAAACAAGACCGCCAAAACACTAGCGAGAACACCACACAGACATGCAATGACTATTCCACACACCACATTGGTGGCATGGAAAGGCATGGGGTGCTTGGCAATGCAATTGCAAATTACTTCTGTCTCATATGCCTGCGAATACGCCATGGATTCTCTGGTAGCAGGGTTCTTTGACTGTGCCACAATCGTGCAGAACTTCAATACAAGTGTGTCAGGTAAGTGTTGGTACCTAGAGAGAACATGATAAAAGTGACCGCAGGGCTCCATAAATCTCGCCATATCTTCAGAACGATCATTGTTGCATGATCCAACACATTGCCCAATCACCATATTGTGCATGTTAAGGTGGGTGTGCACACCCGTATTTCCATTTGGTGCCCAGGTTCTAACGCTAAGAAGCAGACTGTAGAGCATCAAGACGTCATGGCTTCGCCTAGCGTTGCGTCAAAGACCAAAGCTTCGTCGGGGGCAGAGGATGCGTCTTTGCATCCTTCTATGTTCGTTTTTCGCTCTGGAACTACATTTCCCGGCGCGCTAATCGCAGAGAATTTCCTCCATTCTCGCGAATCTACAAAATCTCTTTTCGAAGCCGACGTTCCAATTCCGTCAGTTGAGTGTGAGGACTCTGTTCTGAGCAGCCGCGAAGTCAGTCCAAGCCCCTCGAATCCAACACGATGGAACACCCCGCAAAGCCACTCAACGGTGGACACTGTTTGGGAGCAGATGAAGGCTCTACAAAGCTTGAGAGTGACCTCCACGCTGCCTGCAGACCAGTATTCCCGTTTACAAACGCCAAATCCTTCATTTCAGACTTCATTCTACACGCCAACACGAGACAACGATCTGGCAGCTGGTGATGTGGTGGAAAGCTTGGGCGCCCTTCATCTTCAATCTCGGCAGTCTACCCCCATGCCATCCATCGCACCCTCAATGTATAGCCCATCCCCATCTTCTAAAAGGATATACCAAGTCGAATGCGAAGAGCCACCCAGTAACCCCTTTTATCACTATGAGTTCCAAAAAGCACTCTCGGGAGTTATGTCATGTATCTCCAATATGAACAAGGTCTTGTCTAGTACTAGTATACATCAGGAAGTTGGGTCAGCTGTCCACAGCCTCCAGCAACAAGCCATGAATCTGGGGCGTCAGGAGCTTCCCTCGTCGCGCATTGTTGGTATGATTGGTGATTCTGCAGTAGGAAAGAGCAGCCTCATCAACTCACTACTCGATAAGCCGAACCTAGCAAATTCGGTGAGCAAGATCGTACCAACTTTTGAAACAAGATTGCTAACACGGAATTGTGCAGAGTGGTAATGGTACTGCTTGTACATGTACAGTCACAGAATACGTGTATCACGACAGTGATGAGTATAAGATCCAGGTCCAGTACTTCGACCGAGATGAGCTGGAGCATCAATTTAAAGATCTCCTGAGCGCGTACCGAAACACAGAGGACCCTCATGATAGCCTGGAATCAGGGCAGCAGAACAAAGAAGACCTGCAGGAGAACAAGGAAGCTTTAGTACAGAAGGCCAATCTCGCGAGACAAACTTTTGAAGCCATTTTCACGAGTTATCTCAAAGAAGATCCCGAAGCCCTCTCACGCGAAGGATTCAGTCCTACTATCGAGAAGATGATGCTTTGGGTCCGAGAACTGCTTCCAGAATCCAAACACGAGGAATCCTTTGCTACGCTCCAAGAGTGCGCTGATCGGCTGATCATTTTGACTTCAGGGGCCGGTAATTCGTTCCCGAGTTCACAATCTGGTATGCGGTGGCCCTTGATCAAGAGTATGAAAGTATTCTTGAGAGCAGTCATACTGAGCAAAGGACTCACCTTAGCGGATGTTCCCGGTCTTCGCGACAGCAACCCTGTGCGTTCACGGATTACGGAGCGATACATTCGACAATGCGACCAGATCTTCGCTGTTCTACCTATCCAACGCGCTGCTGACGACAAAAGCCTCGATAACATTTTCAAACTAGCACAAGATGCAAACCTCTCTAAAGTCGACATAGTATGCACGAAGTCCGAAGACGTGGATACTAAAAATGCCGCGTCTCAATGGTCAGAACACAGGGATGAACTTGGAGCGCTTCAAAGTGAGATCGACAGCATACAGGTCAAAGTCAAAAAGATAGCAGAAGCTTTGGCTGAAAAAGAGGAGCTCGCTCCCGATTTCGAGAGTCTCACTTTGAGTGAAGGGTACCAAGCGTTATTAATTGAACAACGTATGTTGGAGAGATACAGGAAGGGCAAAGAGCACGAGTTGCCCCACCGGCTCATTCAGATCCGCAATGCTTCAGTCACTGCTAAACTCCACTACAAATACCGGGAGCTTGAAAAGGAAAAACGCCCCAAGGTATTCTGTGTGAGCAACAACCTGTACGAGAACAATCGTACCGAGACTGGCCCAGTGCATCTTGCCGCGATCCACGTCAGCGGCATTCCAGATCTCCGACGACATTGCATTGGTATCATTGCAGAGAGCCATTACCGAATTTCTCGGCAGCTAATCGATCATGAACTCCCAGCATTCCTTGGCTCGGTGGAGCTATGGATGAATTCCGGAGGCAGCAATGCTACGTTGGAACAACAGAGAATTCGCGAAATTCTGCCCAGGATTGATGGATACTTGCTCAAGGTACGAAACTACTTGACTGTCACATGCTGATAGCCGCATGGCGCATCAACGCAGCCAATCTTCTCGCTTAGCTGTTTCGAGGCAAGATAAAGATTGCGCTGACTTTTTCACGTAGTTTGAGGACGAGGAAATCTTCACAAAGGGCATGTCGTGTATCTTGCTACAGAAGTTCAAAGAGACGATAGAAGATAGTATGAGTACGTTCCGACGCGATTTATTCTACATCTGCTCTCTTCATTAACGTTTTCTCAAGTTTCCTCGGCTGCAGAGTGGTCCAAATATGCCGAAGAGGCCAGCAAATTATGGAGTGGGGTATGTATTTCGTCTCCGGGGATGGATGATACTTGACGGAATATCTGCTGACCAAGTACTAGTGGAGTGCTCCTACGTACTCTGCATTCTGTCGCAATGAAGGGGACCATTTTACACCAGCAGTTGACTACCATAATTGGAACGAAGAAGCGATTGCTTTGTTGCAAAAAGACATGAAATGTGTTTGGAAGGATTTTGTTAAGACTCTGGAAGAGGAGCTATGGAAGCTAAGCAACGACATAAAAAGACTGTTTGAGGATATATATATCTTGGCATTGCCTCAACAACAAAACAGGGAGTCTTGGGTTCAAAGCCGCACTTCTGCAATCCGGGGGCTCCGCAAGACCCTGAGGCATCGCCGGGACATTGTACTCGATGGTGTGGAGAAGAGCCAGGAAAGGTTCTGGACAGAGATGGCCACACTCAAAGTGAATACTCTTGGCTCTTTAAAAACGGCGTTCGTAGGAGAGTGCATGAAGGAGACGTATTACGAAGCCAACAGTAAACATGGTAAGTGCAAATTTTATCAACAGAATCTTTTTGTAGTACAGCCCTGATGTGTAGCTCTAGGCAAGGGGTGCACAGCCAAAAAACGGGCGTTAATCACTGGACGATTCGGCTCCGAGGCGTTGTTCGTGGACATGCGAAAAGCATGCAGGGCTGATTTTGCACGTCTCGCAGGGGAACTGCAGGATAGCATGCAAAATGTGCTATCAGACCAGATTACTCAGATTGAAAGGGGTCTGAAGGTGTTGCGAGAGAGCAATGCAGTGCTGGGCAGTGAACACGATCCAGATTTCAGGGACAAGGTACAAAACGCAATGGAAGATATGGAGGGGAAGGTTGCCGAGGCTCAGAGGCTCATTCGCCAGGTAGAAGCGGAGATGAACGTGCGGGCGCCTTGAATATCGTGTTTTGTCACTACAATAGCCATTGCTTGCAATTGCCGCTTAGCTACGTATTCACTTCATCATTCATGGAAGAGCATCTGATAGAGTAACGTGGTGTCAATATTGGAAATGAGAAACAGAATTTGTACTGTCGTGGAGTGTTGTGCACCTCCATCTGCGCGTGTGTTCGATGCATAAAAGGATTGTATTGTTCAAGTCTGAAAGGTCTTCAGACTTGAAAATAGGTTATGTATCTAATGGTTGTTGTTTTTTCTTATATCCTCGCCTGAATACCATTCGGGCCTTTCCACCAGCATTACGCCCTGCTTACTCGACCACAGTACATGTGTGTTAAACAATCAAATCCAACTACCATGCATCCGACCTATTCCCATCTCAAATTTACACAAGATAGATAACAATTCTACGATGTCAGATCCCCAATAGTTTGGGGGACACCTTGGCAAGGCCCAGTAGGGGTGACTCCGGGAATATTGCATTGGCTGAATGTGACGAAATTGTTGTAGGTCGCAAACCAGATGGACTGGCAAGATTGGAACGTGTAATTAATCTCGGGTACGTACACGCTGTTCGGGCCGTTGCTGATAATGCAGCATGAGGTCTATGATTAAGGGGATGAATCTGTTAGCTTTTGCTTTTGAGGTGGATATTAGTTATGAGGAGATGAAGACTTACGGGACCACCGCTGTATACGCAGCAGTAACTACTGCCAGCCTCGCCATAGATGCCAGGCCATTGTGGGCAGCTGCCGGAAGGAACGGCTGGAGCTGCGGCTGCGGCTGCGGCTGCGGCTTGAACTACAGGACTGTCGGATGCAGGGGCGGCAAAGATGCTGGCGGCGCCGGCCAGGACAAGAACGATAGTGGAGGCGTACATTATGGATATCTTGAGAAAACTGTGGACTGAGCAAGTGACCAGAGATTACAATAAGGCGAAGAGAACGTGGAGTGAGATATGCTGTTCAGTATGAGGATGAATTAATGCCGGAGAAAGATGAGTCCTTATAAGTTTGTGTCTCTCGAAACGCATAAACTACAACATACGTTGTACTATACCGAGCATTAACAGCATTCCAAGAAAGGAAGGACATTGCGATTAGTTTCTTAAAGTTTTAGCAACAATTTTTCGAAATGAACATGTAATCTCCGTTGAAGTACCGCACACTACCGGCGTTTGTAAGTAAGCTTACAGGGATATCCTTGATGGGAATCACAGCAAGTCCACATGGACCAATCTATGTAGTTGGGTTTAGTAGGATTTTCAAGGAACACAGAGTGATTATTTCCCCATGTCCAGAGCTTAGTTGTATTGATTGTGCTCTCTAATAGTGTATCTGTAATCGTAATCGTAATGGCTTTGCTTGTAGGATTGATGAAGTTGTCAGCAACGGGCATGCAGTTGGAAACGAGTTAGAAGAACTACAGAAACACTCGAGCTATAACAGGGATATCACTATAAATATCGGTAGCGTTAGTAAACCCCAAGGATAATTCTGCGGGCAAGTGTAAGAAAATCACCAGAAGGGGTCGCATGGCCCGTTGCTAACGTGCCCCCTGTTCCCGAAGCTTCCGGACCAATTAATTTATAAACTATAATTAACCGAACTTGTAAGCTAAGCGGCCCAATCAAGCTTTCACTTAACCAATAAGGGGTTGCACCAAACCAGAACATGGTGCGCTAAGCTGTTAGCCAAAAATCATAGGTTTACAGCCTCTTGCAGATATCCTCAATAATCTCATCCGTCTTTGCCTTGCCGCCCATGTCTGGACTCAAGAGCTTACCCTCCTCAAGATTTGCATCGACAGCAGAGTAAATCTTGGCGGCGGCCTCTTCCTCACCAATGAACTCGAGCATGAGCGCAGTAGATCGGATGGTAGCAATTGGGTTGGCAATGCCCTGGCCCTCAATGTCGGGGGCAGAGCCATGGCAGGGCTCACCGATGACAAAGTCCTTACCAACGTTGGCAGAGGGAACAAGACCGAGGGAGCCGACCAAGGCGGCAGCACCGTCGGACAAAATGTCACCGTAGAGGTTGGGTGCGACAATGACGTCGTAGTCTTGGGGTTGACGGAATAGCTTGTAGACCATGGAGTCGACAATCTGCTCCTCAACGCCAACCATTTGGTACTTTGCATCTTGCAGAGCGCGGCGCGAGGTCTCGCGGAAAAGGCCGTCTGTCTGAGACAGAACGTTGGATTTGTGGGTGATTGTGACGAGCGGGCGGGAGTGGATGGAGTTGCCACCAGCATCGCGGACACGCTGCCTTCGCAGGGCAATGTCGCCGGCCATGGCGGCAATGTTGAACGAGGCTGTCTCGGAGATGCGCTTGATAGCCTCAGCAATTTTGGAGCCGTCAGGGGCAGTGTATGTCTTCTCCTCCTTGACATAAAGGTCCTCGGTGTTCTCGCGCACAATGACCAGGTCTACGTCGCGCAGACCTCCCCGAACGCTCTTGACGGGACGCACGTTGGCGTAAAGCTTCATCTTCTTCCTCAGCGCCACAATGGGGCTTGAGTAGCCCTTGGTCTGGACCGTGGGCGAGCTGACGGCGCCAAAGAGGGCGCCATCGCAGTCGGACTTGAGCGCCTCGACCGTCTTGTCGGGCAGAGCAGCGCCCGTTTTCTGGAATGTCTCCCAGCCCGCCTCGTGGTGCGAGAAGGAAAACTTGAGGCCCAGAGATGAGGGCAGGGCCTCGAGAATGCGACGGCCGGCGGGGATGACTTCGCGGCCAATGCCGTCACCGGGAATGAGGCCTGTGGAGGTTTGTGAGCGAGTGAGGAAGCAATTGGTGTTGCTGTAGACAATGTTGTGGGGGAGAAGAAGCACCAATTGGCTTCTGCAAGCCAGGCTCAATGTTTTTTTCGGGGTGCTCTATGGGAACTTCTTACCAATCCTCAGCGTGCGTGCGGCCATTGTGAAGCTGTGACACAAAAGCAGTCGATGTTATGCGGCTGGAAATTTTTGGGGTTGCAGTTGCAGTCCGCCGAACTTCGGAGCCCCGGGTTTATCCGTGCTCTCCGCGGCATGCGCACTGCAACAGGACTTGTGTGGTCGAGGAGGTGAGAAGATCAACCTGGGACACAGAAGATGGCCTACTGTGACAATACGCCAAAGAATTACCGATTTCAATCACTCGTCACTTTGTGGATTTTTTAAGGCGGTGCCCTTGACCCGGCTGTTGATTGGACAGCGGGTACACCCAGCGACGCTCGTACCCCGTGGGGGAAGGGCCAGTCTCATTCGCTGTAGTAGTAACACGAGTAATACCACATACAAAACACCGCCCTTGGCAATTCCATCCCAACCCAAACCAGTCATAGCCGTGTATATCTATCATACATTCCCATCCCATAACGCCGCGCTGATGCATACCCCCCAAGACACGCTGCGCATCATGCATGACTGCGTCATGTCCTAGTCCAGCTCATCGTCTTTGCTGGCTTTTCCCGTCTCCTTCTCTCCCTCTTCACCATGGACTTGTGCAAACCTTTGCTCCGCATCCTCGACGCCCTCCTTCTTGGCCTGCTCCGTGGGCAGCAGCTCGATGACCACGACAAAGAGCTCCTGGTTGGTTTCGCGGTTCTTGAGCACATACCTAAGTGTGTGCGAACTGATTAGTGAATGGTCGCGTCAGCTCCTCGTTCCGATCCAAACAAACCAGTGACGTGTGATTACGTTCCGGAACAATAAATCCAAATGGCTGTGGGAAAGGAGGCACTTACCGCAACGGTTGTCCGTCCCAATGCCTGATCATGGAAATATTCGGCAATCCGTACCCAATCTTGAGCGCAAACTCGTTGAAATCCAGATACGGGTTGAAAAAGTCGCACTGGTACTCCCTGCCTGCTTCAAAGGTGAAGTCCTTGCGATTTTGCTCACTGAGGAAAAACTTCTGCCGGGCGCCCGCCTTATCAGGTATGCCCTTTTCCTTCCTGACCGTAGCGCCGTCGCCATCTGCGCCCTCTTCGTAGACAACGACCTCGTCCTCTGAGCCGCTCTTGTCTTCGCATTGTTCGTCCTTCTTACTACCAATGCGAAAGACGTTGATGGATGAAAGCAGGGCACCGTACAGATACGGCTCGTCCGCGTATACATCGCCATCCAGGCCGGGGTCAATCCACCACTTGACTATGCCAAACGCCTTGTCAAACAGGGGCGGTAGACGATCGCGAATCGGGTGATCAAAGTCGTTTCCAAACACGAGCTTGTCGCCTGCAATGTCCTGCTTCGGGCTAAAGGAAAACGATATCGAGTACCGGTCGTATGGGTGCTGGGGCGTGGAAAAGTATGGTGACGTCGATGGCGAGCCTTCTGGTAGTCCTTTGAAGTGTGAGTTTAGTCGCTGATGGGCGGGGCATGAGGGGCAAATGTACCGCGATAGTCCTTGATGCGCATGTGCACTTTCGCGTCAATAAGGTCCGACGATATGCTCACTGGCTTCTCGCGATTCACAGGCACAGGCTCATGCTTGGACACATCGTATGTCGGCCCTGCCGTTACGCGCAGCATGTACTGCTCGTGGCTCGTCATGTCGTCTGGTATATTCGTGGATGTGCAAAGACGTTTGTTTGGATTTTTTTTCTTCTGATTCGAGTGCGAAAAGATGGATGACCCGGTGAGTGATGAACAATGACAAAAATGGCGGGTATGGCTGAGAAGGAAAGCTGCGATGGTGAAATGCCGCCCGCGCTTTCGGCGCCGCCCAAATTTTGGTGATGGATGATGACGTTCCAAGGGTGCATGGCCAGGGATCGACGCGCTAGTCCAAATGCGGCATGGGCTCGTCTGCCTCGCAGATCATCACATCCTCCGCACTCCACGGCGCCCAGAACCCGCCAACACCAGACACACTCGGGACACGCCAACACGGTTCGAAGCATGGAAACACCAAAGAAGCGCTAGTATAGAGACTCGCTCAAACCTACACTCCATAGCCCTACCGTTAAACCCTCGTGAATGAATCAATGTCTACTCGCTCATAAAACGACACGTGACCAAACGTCTCCCAGTACTGCGCGATCCGATCATGAGATATCAGAATCAGCTGCGATGCCATGTAGTTATCTGGCCACTAGTTAGCAATCGGCAACAGTCATTTTGCAGTTGCAACAACCTACCATCTCGAAATCCCGTCGCTGCAATATGTCCTACACTCCGCACTATTCGCGCGCCTTGAAAGATTTCCTCGCTGGCCACCCTCAACAGCCCGCTGGGGCCAATGTCAGGCGCAATGAACGTATACTCTCCTCTTGGTATGTTTGGGTCACCCGTTAACTTGACCGCTTCAATCCGGCCTTGGTAGACTGCATCGCCGTCATGTCGTGCGTCACCTTGGCCGCGACTTTCCGACGCCCGTTCGTGGTACGACTGTTGCAGAGTTGCCACACTGTCTTCCAGATCATCGACAGTTTCCATCGGAGCGTCTTCGTCGTCGGAATGCGCTGCGTCGGTAGGTGCAGTAGTCCATGATCCCTCGCTGCTTACACTCTCCTCGCGCTCCGCTGCTAGCAGAGCCCACTCGGCTCGTTCTGGAAGGGGTCTTGGATTATCAGGCTGCATGACGACCAGGAACTCGCAACCATGCCCGGCATAATCGCCGCACCAGATGCCCTGCCATGGCTTTTGTCGAGTCGGAGTGTAGCACTCCTGGGGCAGTGTCGCCCATGTTGAAATGTTCTCGCCAATTCGCATGTTGAATCTTATTGATTGAGTCGCAAACTGCATCCACTTGCGCAACCTAAATGTCGAAGTAGACAGCTGATTGAGTAAACTAGGCTTATGTCCAGATTGCGTGAAGCCAGAAGGCGACTGGTCGTTGCGAGTGCGATGAACACTGGGCACTGTGAGTGGAGGCCATACAGGTGTCGCTTCTGTCGTGATAGTCTCGGGCCAGGGTCTGGTCAGCAGCAGGTGTGAGCGCAGTACTGTGTGTCGGGACAAGTTCATTGGTATCTCCTTCTGCAGTCGGTGACCCATGCGTCCGATTGCTTCTTCATATGCGCTGCTGTTCAGTCGGACTACGGGCACATTCAGATCCAACTGCACTCGAGGACTAAAGGTATGGATAATCGCATCTGGATGCTGGTCCCACGACAGAGACTCGGGTATCCGGCGTTCGGCAACAAGTTCATATGCTTCAATTGCATTGAGTCGATGATCATAGCGCGCTACAATGAGCTTCCCAGTGTGCACGTTGTCCGCGAACCACAATTTGTTCCCAGCAATAAACCAGTAGGGGTGGTGCTCCTTGAACAGTTCCCGCCAGGTCCGATGCGCTGGCTTGGACACAGCAGGCCCTGGAATCTCCGCCTGGACCAGTCGCTGCCAAAGAATGTCCTGGTTTGTGTGCTCTTGCAACGCCCGGCTTACCAGACCTACCGAGAGGAGGTCTGAAAGACACAGGTGACCGAGGATTTGTTGCAAGAGCTCGGCAGGGAGTCTCAGCAATGGGGGTGTCATTGTCTGTGGGACTGAAATCTGGTCCCCGGATATGGGTGAATCCATCAGTCCAGAAAGCGGGAGGTACTGGAGTATGGTACCTCTGTGCTGGCACGATGTGAAGAAGGTGGCAGCGATTGATGAATTGCTATTCAGGCCGAGGTTGGAGGTTAACTACGCACAGGCTACTCCAACACCATGTACCACAGCCCAGAGGGAAGGGCTTCGAGATATTGGTTTTGTTCCGTTTGAGGTATGATGCGAGCAGCTATCTCCAATTGGTGGTAATGCAACGGTACACCCGGTCCGGTACGGAGCTTGGTACACTCCCTCTTGGGAACGCCTGGATATCACCTTCCCACCTTTGCCTAGCTGCGCCAGTGCTAAACAAGATTGGTGCTCCCGGCCGACGAATACAATTGCTATGCAAGATCGAGATGGTCTCGCCAATCTGTAAAAATAACAATTACCTGCTCCTTTGGGCTGCTTACCCTGTGCGGAGCTGATGGCCAGCGTGCGGTATCGGATATCGGATCGTGTGGCACAACGTAGGGGGTGTGACTTGTGATCGGCTTGCGTGTAGTTGGAGTAAGACGGTCAAAACCAGGATAGGCCGGGACGCAGTGCACTGTATACACACAGGGCGAGAAAGGCGGATAAAGAGGTGTACGTGTAGACTAGGGTGTGGAGTGGTGGGTGGGCATGGTGTCCACTGTACATACAATCACGACAGCATGACGCGTTGACGCACAGACTCGCATGGCCCGCTGGCTAGCGTCGCCGCCAACCATGTGGCTTTTTGTGGGGTGAGGCAAACTCGACTTCCCACGTACATGCAACACCAAGTAGCTGCTGTGAATACAGACATGTCCTTCTTCGAGTCCAATCCCATCACCCCACCCATGGGCTGTTCCGCACCAGCCGTGCCTGCTGCTCCTACTGGCTGCAAGAATAACCATGGCAAAGCTAGTCACGCGAGCGGTTCCCCTCCTAGATATCACACATCATGTCCATGCATCGTCGTCACCAGCAAAGATTCAAGAGCAACATGAATAGTATTGAGAGATTACTGCTGCGTCGTAACATTACGTGCGATACCAATGTCGCTGGCTCGACTACACCTCCACCATCCTAGTGACACTAACACATGCTGAGTACAAGAATCGTCCGAGGCACCCTTTTTCTTCCTCCCCTAGAACAAGCCCTCAAACAAATCATTACTGAAGCCATCTCCCGAAACTGGCACAGCAGGATTGAAGATATCCGCCATCTCAGATGCGTCGAAAAGTCCGCCTTGGGAGCCTGCGCTCAGCTCCACAAAACCCAACCCCTCCTCCCCCACAACCGGCGCGGCAAAGCTTGAAAAATCTGCCAGCTCGGAGGCGTCGAACATGCCCATTTGAGGGTCGCCGCCCAGCGCTGCCAAATCAGAGCCGTCCCCTGAAACCGGCACGGCAGGATTGAGGATGTCTGCCAGCTCAGAAGCGTCGAAGAGTCCGCCTTGGGGAGCTCCACTCGCTTGTTTCAAATTGGAACCATTGTTGCCATCTTCGTCCAGTGGCTCGCCAAACAAAGCGACATCCGTACCTTCATCCCCGTGATCTTCGGCCATGTTCTCTCCAGGCGTCAAGATTGGCTCCTCGGCCTTCTGCTGCTCAACCTCCTCATCTTCGGCCTGAAGGGAAACCCGATCTGGCTGCTGACGCCCCTCATACACCTCCGTGGATATAGCAGGGGAAGCTTGTCCACCTCCTTGGCTTCCACTCTCTTCAGCCGCTCCGACAACCTTCTGCGTCGTCTGCGATATCGCTTCTTCTATCTGCCTCTCTTGCTCCTCCCTTTGCCTCACTTGCAGTCGCTCGAGCGCAGATCGAGGCTTTGAACGGGTTTTTTTGGCAGGAGCTTGTCGAGGATCTGACGCACGCTGCGCAGCCGCATTCACTCCTTCCATGCGCGGATCATGCTTCCACTCCAGTGGTGGCATGCAAGCCTTGACGCGAGTCGAGTCTCGATCCCGCATCACCTTGCTGAACCAATTCTCCCACGTCTTGTACCTCTGGTCCAAATCGCCATGCATAAAAGCATGTTCCTCAATCTTGGAACAAACCCTTTCGTATTTGCGCTTGACGGCGCCCTCGAGCTGGCGGAGAGTAAAGCCGTTGCGGCAACAGTCATGGTTGTGGCAAGTGCAATCCTTTTTACCTCCGCATCCCGTGTCCACGTGAAGACACATGTACCTGTCTGGTGTCTTAAGTGGGTATGATGCCAGGTCGCGGGATGGAAGCTGGAAGCGGCCGTCTCGATCTGCCAATCTCGGTTCATCTTCCTCGGGCGATGACTGTCGGCGTTTCTTCTTTGGCAGAGGGATTTGCTTCGCGGCCTCAAAGGCATCGAAGGCGGCTAGCTTCTGCCATATGGGATCTGTTGATTTTCGCGAGCGATCGCCATCAAGGTAGATACGGTCAACAAACTCCTTTTGGGCGAGATATCGCTGGTGTTCCGCCTTAGCTTTCGCCTCTCTTTCCAGTCTCACTGACTCGTCCAATTCTGGTGAAACTCGTTTGGCGGTTCGGCAGTCTTCCCCAGCTTCTGGCCCCGGCGCACGGCGCTTCTGCCCGCGCGATGGTCTTGGAGAGCTGTCTTGCTCATCGTCAATGATAATCGCAGTGTCGTTATCCGCACCCGGCTGCTTTCCTGCTAAGGCAACATGCGTTGAAGAAGAGGCGCTGCTTGCCTGAGGAGCAGATCGAATGTCAACTGCGTGCATCTGTTCTACCACAATGTCTTTGAATCGCTTGGTCTGCTGCTCACGAGTCCCTCTCCGCTTATCTGCAAATTGAGCATACCACTGTGCCTCCTTTTGGGCAATCTCTTGGCTCATTTCTTTGATAAGATCAAAAGCACTAGTATATTCTGGAGAGCCAGGCTCATGACTTTGCATCGTGCGGCCGAATACCCCGAAAGAGACATAAAGCTCGTATCGCTCCGCAGGCGACAAATACCGAACATTCCACAAGTCTTTTGGTGTATATACACCCTTGACATTTTTGGAAATGAGGAAAAGCTGGTTGGGGTCGATCCCAGGCACGATCGATGTCGGATGTTCATTCATCAAGTCCGGGGCTGATTCTTTTAACCAACCTTGGGCATCACCCAACGAAACTTGTGGGGCGAACGAGCAAGGTGGGTGGTAAGGTTGGTATGGAGTGGGTTGTATCGCCCTTCCCGAGTAAGCCGTGTATTGTGTTGTTTGGTGTTGGATAAAGAAGGACATTTTGCCCGGTTCTTGAGCGAAAGGAAGCGACTTGAGTGTAGTCGAGTTTGAAGTGATGATTTTGCCTTGAGTGCGATTGAAGGGAAGCGATGATTGTAGCTTGAGAGGAAATATGGCCGTGTCGGATCGAATGAGGGTATCTCTTCTGCGGTTTCAGTGATGATGGTATTCACTCTGGGTGTTGATGGACGAAAGTTGTGGCTGTGATGGAGTTGTTTTGGTCTGGTATCGAGAAGAGAGCAACGAGCTTCTCATTTTATACTCACTTTCACTACCTGGGAGGCCGTGCAATCATCTTTCACTGCCCACGGTCTTCCACCCGCTCGTTGGATAGGCCATGAATATCGCTTGTAGCGATAGATGTGAGAGTGATCGGATTTGCAAATGCTTTCATCTTCACTGGCTCAAAGTAAGTGCTATGGGCACGCGAACCACGGTTAAGACGAGAAATCCACAAAAACATCTGTTTTGATCATGTGGCTTTGGCGCCACATTGCTGTCGCGAGTAGAACTCTGTCGAACCGGAATAGCAAAAACGTGGACAGAGTGCGTGAATTGGGATTCGTCAGGAACACTGCGTCATCGCTCACATTACACAAAGGTTGACGATACATATGAGAAGCATTTCCATTGCCATCATCTGTCTCTTTCATACAACGTCTTGCTCATGAGACTCCTCATATGCGCATCCCAATTATTCCATGTTACCACCGCCTTGTGCCTCGGAACTACATAGCAGTGTTGCTCTTTCGAGCTTGGATCGTCCGTGTTTTTCCTGCATTCACCCAGACCACTAGAAAAAAAATTTGACCATTCTTGTGAATGAACAATAAATAGCTGTGCAGTGTGTGTAAACCACTGCAAGTAACGTCATGCCTTTGTGGACACATATGGATTGAGCATGTCACGTGACAAGCACTGAGCGCAAAGGGTTAATTGGTAAAAGGCCCTCTCCTGTAAGTCAACGTGACAACACCAAGTTGCATCCCAAAAGAAAACACTTGCCATGTGTCGAGATGCACTCAGGCCGGTCCGTGGCCATGACATTGGTAACCATCAATGTTGTGGGGCCGTCGTGCCTGTGCATACCGCAACCTTAAAGTAGCCTAGCGCGCTGATAATAAGGGTGCGAGTGGGTGCATGATTCACGGACCACTCCACTATTCCCCTCCCACTATTCCCAATAATAACAGCACATCGTGTTTGGGCCCTCTGTGAGCGCGCCATGTTCTGGTCGGATGGTGATAGCGACGGGTCCGTCCTACGTATATTTAGGCTTTGCTATCGTCTGGGTGAGCTGACAACACCAGCTCCAACTTCCGGTGTACCCGCTGCAACAGGGAGTTTTCAAACCAATACGCGCTGCGACAACACCGCCGTGACGCCTCGGGCCACCATCCATGTGATTCCTGCGACTTTGTTGGAGCAACTCGCGCGGACTTGTTCATACATCACGGCCAAACAAGACACGCGGCGGTTTGCCGTGGCTGCAACAATGGGAGAGGGCGTATCTGGGAATGGGAATCACAGGAGTACCTCGATCATCTGGAGGACGAGAATGTTTGCGGGCTCTGTGAGACGCATTTTCAAACTCCGAGCAACCTTGAACATGTGAGCTGAATTGAATCTTGGCCGGATTAACATTGACAGGGTGCGCAGCATGAAATGACACATCTGGAGCGAACAATTGAATGTTATGGCTGCTATAGGAAGTTCCCCACATATCCCGCCATGATTATTCATCTCGAGGCCGCTACGTGCGCTTCCGGAATCAACATACGTGATTTAAACCAGTCCGCTGCCATGTGTTTCCAGTGGAAGGCGTACCTTGAACGGGAATATCGCCAGGAACTACTCGAGCGCGTTGATCTAGAAGCGAAGTATGGACGCGTATACCCATTTCGATGTCCAGGCTGCGAGTTGAGCTTCACAAAGCTATCGGGCCTTTTCCAGCACGTGTACAGTAATGCATGTCGCCAGGATTTGCATGAGGGTAAGATGGCCAAGTTGATCCATTGGCTAGAAAATCGCCATGATTCATCATGACTTTGGTCGAAGGGGCATGTGGCAACAACGCGCAACAAGCTTTTGTATTTCTATCAACGCTTGAATATTCGTTACTTGAGGATGTGAAAATATTCTTAACATATGGCAATACTGCACTTCTTCCATATGCAGACCAAGCAACAAGCTGCTGATGTTTTGGTATCATGAAAATACAAATTTTGGTGAAGTTTGATCTCTTTTGACATATTATCCTCTAGTACACAACTTCCTGACCTTGCGGGTCAAACCACCCACTTCTGAAACAATCTCCTACTCATAATCGCCTTCTATGTGTTTCTTCCAATTTCTATCGTCATCGTTACAAGGTACGCCGCAATCATATCACAGCCCAGCGCCTCAAAGCGACTAATCTTCCAGTCTGTCTTCTCCTTGTCATAAATAGCCTTGGCCTTGAAGAACCGACAATGCACCTGCCCGAGCTGGCTAAACATGACCTTCTCGCCCGGTTGGCGCTGCATCATCGTCCAAGACTGGTTCATCAAGCGCACTAGCTCTCCCCAAGCAACGACTCGAAGAAACGACTCTTGAGACATGGAGAAGAGGGTACGAAACGAGCGATTCCATCCCATGAAGATTTTAACAGCAGGTTGGATCACACCTGCGTTCCAGTTAGGCGTAGCGTCATCGGCATTCCAGCGACTGAACACCTCTTCTGCATTAATCCCGACGTGATCCTTGATCAGAGCGAGCTGCGTAACCGCCAACTCTTCTTCCGACGAGCACTTGAATGCATCACTGCGATGGGGAAACTCGATTGCAATCTCCTCTTTCAAGGGCGTGCGTTGCGTACCGAAGATCGCCATTAGATCTTGCCCGATGCGCTCCGCCAACGTTAGATTAGATTGGAAAACAGACATCAAATTTATACGCGGCTCTTCACAATGCTGAAAAGATTCAGAGACTCCGGGAGTCGAATCAGCGGCATGTAGCAGTTGTTCGTCATGATCAAGGGTCGTAGAAGAGCCCAGATACGAAACCTGTTCGAGGAGTGAGTCTATTAATCCAGAGTTGTAAGTGTAACCAGACATGCAGACCGGTACTTTCTCACCTTTAAAATTCGAGTCGGTCGTCTTTGCCTCCATCTCGGGGACAGTGCCCCGGTCGCGGCCCTCGAGGGCATTCAGCGTTGGTGTGTGTCGTTGGCGCGGCGCATGTGTCGGCAACTCTGCTGCGGGAGTCTCGGCAGGAAGCTCGCCGGTAGTATGGACATTCGATCCCTTGTTTTGATTATCATGACCAGCAGGAACAGCATGCTTATCGCCATGGTAGTAGGTTTCTGGCGATAGTTCTGCAATATCTGTCTGGACTGCTTCTTTGTGACTGTTGTCGCTCAAGTAATTTTCGTAAAAAAATGGTAGCGATTGTGAGCTAGCGTTAGAAAATGGTGTAGATCGCCTCTGGCCTGCATACTTGACATACACTGCGCTGGTGTTAGTTTCATCCTCGTCGGCGATGCTAAAATATCGATCAGTGGTAGGAGTATAAACATCCGCACCATCCTCGCAGTTTTGTGAATTCGGAATACTCTTGCTTGGCTCGATCTTCGAAGAGCTTTGAGAGCTGCTTGTGGATGACTTACTAACTGGTATAGTTCCTAGGCCACTATGCATTGAGCGCATGTCAAAACCACTATCCGCCCGGGTATGATCTGGCTCATGGCTTTTGGAACGACTGTGCATGCCTCTAACGCTTTCAACTCGTTGTCCTTGATGTTGGGTTGTAGATAAATAGCCGGAATCCGAGCCATTCCAAGGAGCGGGTCGGTTTTCGAGTGGAGCAGTTGCTGGTACACAAGGCTCCTCCGATGGAACGAAAAACGACGAACCCAAGGGTGTGCTTGCTGATGAAGAGATACCATCAGGATGTTTCCACAAAGAGGGGCGGGCATGCTGCCAAACTTGGGGAGGCATCTCTGACTCTTGCTGTGTTGCCGCGCCATCTTTGTGCGGCCCAACGAAGCGAGGTGTCAGTGGCTCCGCATTGCCGCGCATTCCCATTTCCGACTTGGGAATCCTCCGAGATGCCTTGCTAGTATGCCCATTCTGGTTTGGACGTTGGTATTGCTGATGAGAATATTTCGACTGGGATTGTGCATTGGGTGAGTAAGGGGGTGGCAAATCTTGATCATAACACTCCCACTTGTCTTGCGACACCGTTATTTCATCTCGATGAAGAAGAAAATATTCTGCACATTGCTCCAATTGCACTGTGTCCTTGGGAATACCATGCTTGTAACAAGTACTTTCGGCACAACGGCACACGAACATCCTTGCAGAATCCGCCCAGTGGAAAGAGCGGATATATACGCCAGCGCTTTCCCACAACTTTTCGCGTTTTAGCTGGTAATCCAAATACTCAGCTACTGTACATGTCTTGTATTTCATGCGTTCCATGTAGAAATTTAAGCTTGCTTCTAGTTCTGGCCATTCTTTGCAAAGACGGAAAGTTTTCTCCCGATGTCGTGCAGGATGGCTACACCGGCAGACTTTTAGCCTGTCCACGCCAACATAATGAAGCCACCAGTCTGGAACAGGCAAACCCGGAAATAAGTGTGGCCAAAGCTCTTCTGTGGTGCGCTGTGTGCGTTTACCATGCGCGAAGAAGAGCTTGTTGTAGCCGCGATTTTCGAAACACATCGTATTGATTGGCTAAGGATAACAAGCTATTGGATATCCTGTGGTTTTAAGGCGTCTATCACTGAGTAAAAATGTATCTCCTCAGAGGGTACTCGAACACTTGGGTGTTGGGCGTGGGAAAGAATCGATCACACGAAATTCTCTTTATGATGGAACAGACCTGATAATCTGTGTCATCACATTGTTGGTACTGCGATAGGACAAAGATAGCAGAACCATTACAATGCGCATGTCTTGAGCCACGTCTATTTTCTTTTCAAGAAAATTGTAGCGTGATGCACAATGTACTTGAGACCAGGCGGCGGTGATCGCATTGTGCGCCAACAACAATGAGATGCGTCGAACCTTTGACAAAGATGACCATGGTGATCTGTTAGAGCTAGCATCCCTTCGATCTTGCTTTCTGTACAAGCTGACATCTACAATACATACGAAAATAGAAAAAAAAACCCCCCGTTCATATTCGCATGACGTCTAAAAATCCAATGTCATAGCTACAGTGCCATCGACTGCAGCGGTTTTTGCAAGACGATCAGCTAAGTGATTGTGCTTCCTCGGGACATAGCAAAATCTAACCTAGATCATATTCGGCCTCGTATGCACTCATGTTCTCGTTGATGGCTACTTAACTTGGTGATCTTTGCCTCGAGCTCTGTGACCAAGGCATCAAATCTTAAGAACAGATCCAAATTTGCAGGTTTCTTTCCTTGAGACGTCTGCTAATTATGTCGCTACACAATCAGCCACAAAACTCTCCTTAGCGCCCACGCCTAATTGCCGCAAGATACATACATTCCAAGTTGGAAACCATACGGTTATTCCTTTACCAACATACCCTGAATCGGTCACCACAATCCAGTCCCAGCGTCACCGCGATGAGTTCCGCTCGTTGGTTTGATCCAGCCGGAAAGTCGACTAGCACTTTGTCAATGGATATAGACAGCTGACCTTCAGTATCACTGCTATAAGCTATGCCGATTCCGGATTTGGCTGTAGGCTCTCCGTTATTTGTACACGCGCCGTCAGTGAAAATGATGCGGGTATGATCGCAGGGCTGGGGTGTTTCTTCGTATTGAGAGTCACGGGCAGATCGTCTGGTGCATTTACAGCAATACGCGAAAAAGTGCCCACACATGGGACATTCTTGGATGAGGTCTTGGAAAGGCAAACCTGTGGCTGCTAGGCACATGTAAAACTTTATGTTGCTGACTCTTTGTCCTTGTCCTATTGTTGAGATTGTTCAAAGGGAGAAAAGGCGTTGGATTGGAAGTTGCAGGGGAGTCGCAGGTAGAATGCACTAGAGGCGATGGCCACGTACTTGGGTGCCTACGGCGAACTTTCGTGTACCTGGTTCGAGCCGTTTGCCCAAAACAACAACCTGAACTATCATCCGCCATCTTCCGAGTCTATATGCCAGTTTCGGTAAAGCCAATACTGGTAGGTACCGTTGATCGAAGCCTTTCTGGGTCTGCGCGTGACGGCTGACATCTGAGGTTTGTTATCGTGATGCATTGTTCAAAATAGGCAAATAGCTAAGACACGATCTTTTTGCGCTCGGTGGAAGAATTGCTACTGTTTGATACTCATATCCTGCTTGAGGAGGAGCCATCGCGTGATTAGGCCAATTGTTCTCAGGCTCGTTTGACCAAACCACAATCAATACCCCGATCACAGTCGCAATAACATCAGCATGACAATCTCATCGAAAAACACAATTTGGGTGGAGTGTAAATACTATCTAAGAGCTGGACGGAAATAAATTGCGGCTTCCCGGACACAGCAGAATATCATGGGTCTTAGACATATATTCCACACGTCTTCCATTACCATCCTCGCGCTGTGGAACCGAAAAGATGTCTTCTATAAAAAATATATTCCATCCCTATGTCCCAGATATACAGTGCATATGACCACTGTCAGCAGCTATCTATCCCGATCCATCATCATGTACAGTAAATGAATATATATCATTCGGTGCCAAACCTCGGATTATTTTTCTCAGCGCCCGGCGATTGCAATGGACGGGAGAACGAGACGGAAATTTGACTCCTTACAGAGAGCCTGTGTTCCAGACACAGTGCGAGGCTATGTGTTTTCTTCCGCTACGAAGAAAAACACGTAGTCTGTGCAAGACTACTATCGCTTGCACCACCACCCTCTCCGAACTACCCTCAGCTCCATGTACCGGCAACATATCCGTCATGCTTCTCTAATCCGCGCTTTCTCTTGACTTGGTTTCAAAATGCCGTTTTGCATCTAGTAAAATTAGATAGTTCGATTCGGAACCAAGTTTTCTCTATTCTCGATGCGGGAAGAGATGCACTTGACCTCAAACCAACCAACCCACCACTTGTGTGAGTACGAGTGCTGAATATAGCTACCTCTGTTTTGATGCTAGTAGCCTTTCGACACACACATATTCCATGATTTGTTATGAGGATTACGATGCTTTTCATTTACTGGAACTGGCGATAGTCATCAGCGTCTCCATCGAAACGGCGCTTTTGTACTGTCGCTACAGTCGTGCAGTGGGGGAGTCATTTAAAATCTTAACCTCCATCGTTTCTTTGTAGTCTCCGTTGCCCTTCTTCTAGCAGCACCTTTCTCACAAGTCTCGTTTTAGCAGTGAACATCAACTCAACCGCAAACTCAGGACCAAGGTCATTGCTAATGTGCTTCATATCGCTGGAAATTGTTTTATTTGATTTTTTCCATGCAATGCATACGGTTTCCAAAAGAGCTTTTTCTCCTGGCTAAAATTAATTCTCGGCTCAATGAAGAGCGAAATCCTCGTTCCCATGTGAGAAAAAAAAAACATTGAAGGTAAAATGCAACAACATCATTATCATACAAAACATTATGCTTTCAATCCCAAAGATGATGCCCAATCATCATTTAAGCCCAGTGGATAAAAACGCCAACAAACATGCTTGCAAAAACAAAGTCGGACCACTTCCCACTCAATAAAACATCCGCTGACGAAGCTGCGGTATTGTCTCCCGTTGGGCTGGTCAGCGTCCTGGTTGGCTGACCGCATGTTAGGCCACTGCAAGAGGATGATGCAGTAGTACTCTCAGGAGTCTCGGTCGCTGTAATAGATATTGAATCCTCGATAACGGCAACAGGTGTCTCTCCGGGCAAAAGCGAAACTTCCATGCCATCAATTGTCGTCTCTCCACCTGGCAATAGTGTGTTGCCGTTGGGAAGTAGCAGGCCGCCGCCAGATGCGGTTGGTATAAAGGAGAAGCCAGATGGGAGTGCGTCGGGGGATATCGTTGTGCCTCCTACGACGATCTCATCTGTTTTCGTTGGGAGAGGGATGGTAGTAGTACCGACGACCAAGCCGACATCATCGCGTGAAACAGTTATGCTTCCGATGACGGTTGTTTCGCCAACGTCTAGCTCTGTAGCGAGCTGTCCCACAGGGATGGGTACTCCGTTAACATCGAGTGTGGAAGTACTGGGTATGGATGTTTCCTGATTTAGCGGGATAGAACGCGTGCCATCTACTATGAGAAAAGAGCTAGATTCGTCGAGCGAGATGGTATTGGTACCAATGGTGGTTATTTGACCAGGCTGCAGTCCCGGTACTAGATCATCAATATCCACGGTCGTACCGCCAATAACAACGGGTGCTGCAATGGGCGCTGGGGTCATTGGCGGCAGTCCAATTGTTCTGGTACCACCAACCACCACAAATCCGGCGGAGCTGTCAAAGGAAATTGGCACGTTGTTGATAGTTGTTTGTTGGCCTGGATTGAATCTATTCGTGGTTCCGCTAATCACAATTTCAGAGCGTGACGGGTCAATTACGATAGGACCGGCTCCTGGTAATGTGACAATCGGTGGATGTGTGGCGTCATTGGTAGGTTTGGGTCCCGGTGCACCGGTGATGGGTGGTCTCACAACTACTTTAGAAAAGGTCGGGTCTACTGGGTTAACTTCCGGGAGACCTTTGGTGGACTCCTGAGGGTGTGCGGGTGGGTTCGCAGGCGAAGGTCCAGGTTGGGCCGGGCTATCTTGTGTGGTACCTGGCGGAGTCTTTGATGTGGGGCCAGGCTTGAATGGTGGACCGGTCTTTGAAGGGCCTGGTGGAGAGTCCAAACCTGGGTTTGGCGTGCTGCATATCTGATTAATTTTTCATATCATGCGACTGGGATGTCACTTACGCTGTTGGTGTTGGATTCACAATGGGGGTATGCGGAGTAAGGTAGTCATAGTCGAAGAGAGTTGATACCGTGATTGCTGTCGCGGTTACGATCTCAGATGTTGGAGGAATGTATGGATGTAAAGTAATGGTGAAGGTTGTTGTAAATGAACAAGACTCTGTGGTCAAACTCGGCACTGGATTTGGTTTTGTAAATGTGGAATATGGCGTGGAATATTTGGTATACGTCGTAGAGCTATTCGAGACTCTATACTGACTTGGCCATGTTAGTAGGCCTAAACTGTCTTTTTTTTTCTAAAATACGTACTCTTCAGTGGTAGATGCGCTGGCTGTAAATCCATCGGTGGGGGATTCATTGGTTGGCAAAGCCATCATCGCCTCGTCGCTCGTTGTCATGGCCTTGTCACCAACAGTTTCAAAACGGGTGGCTGTAGTACCGTTTGGAAAGGGAGTGACATGCATGAGCACAGTGAGTACTGCTGTTTCCGTGACACTGATTACGACTGGGGAGTACGATGGCATGTAATACTCTGAGGTAGTTTTTGTACATGGTTTTGTAGAGGTTGGGGGTGCTGTTGTGTTGTGTAGGGTGGGCGGCGCTGTTGTCTTGTGTACAGTGTACGAAGGCGTGATGTCGTCGACAGCGTGGGTGAATGCCGCACACACAGCTATTCAAAATATGCTCATCAGCTACCGGGTAAGCAGAGAGATTCTATTTGTTACATACCAATGAAGCACGAGTAGGCAAGTAGTACCAAAGCGCTCGCCATTGTCATCGTGACTTGGGCTAGAAGTTAGGCTCTGCAGCCACCAAAAGTTGGAGTGTTGAAGAGGAGGGGCGCCCGACAAGACAGAAACGAAAAGCAAGACAGAAGGATCAGAAGATCAATCCGAGTGCTCGATTCCGCGCAGCGAATCCCATGTCAGCTTGGTGTGTTGTCGCTCAGCCTCGAAGTTGGCCCCCAAAGCTGTGCTCTTGGCGCAGGCTCGGCGATGGGACCATGATTGGGTGGGTGGATATGCATTGCCTCAATGGGGCAGGCTGCAATGAGGTTTGATTGCACGCGTAGGTTAGGCGTCCGATCTGCGTACCCTCTAACGGCAGGGATGCTCCCGTTAATGTGCACTCAAGATGTACACCTGATGCAGGGCTTTGGGGCTGGCGTGGCTGCTGTTGTCTAGACTCAGCCCGCAGTCCTGGCATCGCACTCCATCCACCTTTGTGGACCTGTGCAACTTCCATACTGCTTGCATACTTTCCAAGACACTCGACCTCTGCGAGCGTGAGCGTTTCGCGAGGTGGGTAGCAGCCAGATGGCCAAACCACTCTCCCTTGCGGGATCTGGACGCTGGTATGGGAACGATGGGAGCTGGACAGGGTACTTGCTACGTTCCACCAGCCTGTCAAAGGCACTCGCATACTCAGTGCGCTGACAACGACAGCTTCTCAGTCCAAGTGGGAACGCCACCACAAACCTTCGAAGTATTCCCATCTTTTCAGTCGCAGAATGTGTGGCTGCCCATCGGCGAGGAGTGTTCGCGGCTCCAAGCCGATGCGGGATCGTGTGGTAGCTCTCGCGGTGCAGCACCTTTTGAACAAAGTCAAAGCCCCGGCTTCCAGCCAAACATGTCTTCGTCCTGGCAGGCCATCGGTCTCTACGAACTGGGGCTTGAGAAAGTCCGGGGTATAAATGGCAACGGGTTTGTTGGGTTTGACGACGTCCAAGTAGGGAACATCTCGATTGACAAATTTCCCGTCACTGCATACGCCTCGCCCGGCTTCTGGGTAGGGCAACTCGGCCTTTTGCCATTGTCGATAAACTACTCGTCAACTGTCAATTCACCATCGTTTTTAGTCGCCCTGAGAGACGGGGGGCATATACCGAGCGTGGCATACGGTTACCAAGCAGGCGCTCCATATCGGGGTACCAAGGTGCCAGCAAGTCTGGTGCTCGGAGGTTACGACGGCTCGCGTGCATCAAAACCACTTACTGTTAACATCAACACCGACATGAGCAAAGCGTTGTTAGTTTCTATACACGGCATTGTAGCAACTGGCACTTTGAACGGCACACTGTCTCTAGTCAACAGCGAGCGGATTCTCGCGCCGCTCGACTCGTCGGTTCCTGAACTATGGCTTCCCAAGTCGGTGTGCGATCGCTTTGAGTTTGCATTTGGGTTGGAATACCATGAAGCATCTGGGCGCTATCTTCTAACAGACGCAAAGAGAGATCGACTCCGGTCAATGAACCCCGTTGTGACGATGACGATCGGCTCAGACACATCCATATCCGGCAACAGTACCATTATTCAACTTCCGTATGCTGCTTTCGACTTGCAAGCTGGGTTTCCAATTTTTGCAAACGAGACCAATTATTTCCCGATCCGCAGGGCTGACAACGAAAGCCAATACGCAATCGGCAGAGCTTTTCTCCAGGAGGCGTACATTGGCGTGGACTTCGAATCGGGAACTTTCAACGTCAGTGCAGCAAGATGGGACAAGCTGGACCCAGAAATCATTCCGATACTATCAGCAGAAAGCAAATCCGAAGCTGAGAAGACGGGTGGTTTGCCAAGTGGCGCAATAGCTGGGATAGTGGTCGGATGTGTAGTTGGAATAGCTCTGCTCATTGCATGTGCATGGTTAGTGGTGCGGAAAAGAAAGAGAAAGAATATTACACCACATGACGCAGTGGAAACAGGGGCGAACGAGAAAATAAGATACGAGATGCAGCCCCCTTCAGAACTGGAATCGAACGCTCCAAAAGTTTCCGAACTTCCGGGGAAGCAAGGAAAAAGTGAGCTGTACGAAAGCAGGGCGGTGCCTGAGCTGGGCAGCCGAGATTGCATTTACGAAATGCCGGCAGAGTCTGTTCCCAGATTGGCAGCCAAATATGACGAGGGCGCAGACCAAAATGAAGCCAACGAAAGGAAACAGGAGAGGAAGGATCAATAGGGCAGTTGGAAGGGAAAAGAGAAGAGATGGCCAAAGCAGGCTAGTGCATTCTACGTTGGAGCATGTTCGGAAGCATTATGAGATGCATTACGAACCACGTTAATCATTGTAACATATATACCCTGCAAAAGTGCATTTTAAAATAGTAAACTAGCAGACTTGATAACGAAAGCACGTGCTCTATTGCATATGCATTAACCCGGCTAGTGTCGTATGGATGTCCATGGTGCGAAACATGTCAAGTGCTCCTTCTTCCCTAAACAGTCGCATTCTAATTCAGGTAAGCACAAGAGGAAAGAGTACCTAGTCGCTCGACTCATTTTCGCCTTAGCCTGGTCTTCCGACTCTTGCCTTTCCCTCGTCCTCACAATTCGACATGAACGATCGCAAAGAGTCAATCGCAGTACCGTCAGACGCTGAATGTGCTATCTCGAGCATCACTGAACTACAATAAGAGTGGTTGGGGCACGAAGGATATTTTGCCTGACACGTTGACATGCTTTACAGGATCACAAAGCAGCTACGATATGATAGAAGGATGGTTCCAAACTTGCTACTACTCCACGCCCGAGCGATCTCTCCAGAGCATGTACTTGGAACTTGTCTCATTGGGCGAGGATTGGAGGGAGCCCGCTACGTATTACAAACTACGCGAGCTGTGGGGAACCGTGGTCTACCGGTATTGCTTCCATGTTCGAAAACAAGTTCAGCATGCATGCTTCGTTTGGGCTGTGGCTAGAACTCTTCCTGGATGAGCTTCTTTGGTCTCGCGATAGTCAAACGGAAGGAGAAACAGTCCGACATGACCTCGCACATTCGTGGGATTGGGCCAGTTTGAAAGGCCTCTCAATTGCTGGCGCAAGCACGTTATATTCCAGTGAAACGGGCGAGGAGCGTCATCTCATCGACTCATTTTCTGCAACAATGGTATCTATGCCTCGGACCACGGGGTTCACACCTCTGAATCCCATTCTTGGCCATGAGATAAGCAACAGCTTCCGTCTCCACGGGTGCTTGATGCGCTATGTCCATCGTGTCGCCAAATTACGATCTGGTGAAGGAACCATTGATTGCCTTGATCCTGTAAACTGCGGCCCAGACACCCGACGAGATGTAAGGCAATACTACCCCGACACTAAAGATGAGAAGGGGTTTTTCTGCTTTTTGGTGAGGCGAGAACATCGGAGACGCCGAACTACTAGTGTGACAGAGCCGATGGGTAGTGACACGTTGTGGGATCATTACTTGGTTCTGTCACCATTGGAGGGATCACAGAATCGATTTGGGACTGGCACTTATACAGAAATCTTTGATGTTGCCCAAACCACAAAGGATGCAGCAGATACAAGGCTGGACTCGATACGCACTTACATCTTCACAGGCCCGTTGGACTCGCAAGAGATTGAAGTTTGCTGAGCGAAGGAAGGGATTGGCTGTGAAGGGGGGGGGGGGGGGGTGGATTGCTGCACGGCAAAGCGCCAGCAAAGTTATGGAGAAAACGCTTTGTTCAAGCCATCTCCAGCTCGATGAGGCAGTCAAGACTTTGTGGGTGTCGCCAGATGCCTATCATCTTCAAACCCGCACCCTCGTACATTTTGCGATGTTCCTCCTCGGTCCGGTGGCGCGCTCCAAGAACGGCCATAAGCTCCCAGTCAAGAGAGGCTACTTTTGGTCAGAACATGGACAGGGTAGGACGGGCATGCGAACGACTTACTCTGCGCCCAATGCGCGCTCTGGCTGGGAACGACAAAGTCATTGACAAGAATCTTGGAGTAGCCCTTCTTCATTGCGGGGACAATGGCTTTCAGGATATCCGTGTTGACCTGGTCATTCCAGTCTTGGATAATGGAATGCAGATAGTATGCACGGGCGCCTTTGATGGGCTGCTCGGTCATGAAATCGTGAGCCATCTTGTCGGCGCCTGGACCAAGCTTCGCGAGCTGGACGATCTCGGGACGATCTTGCAGAAGCAGCGGGCCAGGAAGGTTTTCCTCAAAGGCTACGCGCAAACCTTCAATGTCGTGGCCGGAGCCGCCGCCAACATCGACTAGGAATGGCTCGTCCTTGTCGGCTCCGTGGATCAGGCGCTCTTGGACAGGGTAGTAGTCTTTTTCAAACCACCGGGGTCGGCCCTTGCTCCACGAATCCATCATGCTGGCAAAGCGGCGGCCCATTTCGGGGTGTTTCTCAAAATACTCAAAGTAATGGCTTCCCTTGCAGTTGTAGCAGTGCTGGAAGGGGGCGTCAAGGCCAGAGTCGGGGCATTTCCAGTTGCGCTGCCCAAAGTACGACTTCATGCAGTTGTGTACGGGCTGCATGGTCTCGGCAATGTACTTGATCGAGTCCTGGTAGGACTGCTGGGCAAAGGCGGTAGAGGTGGGCGTGCTGGCAAAGACGCCGGGCCCAGTCTCGCGCACAGTATGCATGGCGGCGAGATGGCGCAGCATGCGGCCGACGATGACAGGGTCGACATTGTTGTCGCACTTTGCTGCGATTTCATCGATGGACGCGCCCGTGCCAGGGATACTCTGCATGGCCTGGAACAGGCTGACTTCGGCAGCCATCCACAAGACGTTGAGATGGGCAGGCTGGGCCCACAGCAGGTCGAGCATCGTCTCCGAGGGGTGGCTGATCTCTGCTATGAGGCCTCTGCACGCATCCAGCAGCTCTTTGCGCGCGCCGGGGCTGCCATTGCGGAAGTCGTTGCCCAGCGTGGCGACATTGTCGAGGAGCGCCAGGGCAGCCTGTGACGGCGTGGGATCGGCGGCCATGGTAACGTCTGAACCAGTGGGGAGGGAATTGATCTAGGAGAGGAGGGAACGCCCGCTGGATGGTGTGTAACGAGCAGCGAGTGGTTGGCCTCGGGTCTGTTCGCCTCTCAGTCCTCGCCCGGGCGGATGTGTGCCGAGAAGGGACGGGCTGGGTGGGCATGGGGCGCTGGTGCATGCAGGCAGGCGGCGACGGCGACGGCGACGACGACGAGCTTGTGCTTGGAGGATGCAGCAGAAGCGTCATCGTCTCCTGGGCCACCGCCGTGAGGATGTGTTCTGGCTCCTCGATGCATCTCCCCCTCCCCCTCGCCGTCCTGCCGCACGTTCACCAGCCTCTCCACCCGCTGCCCGGCTAGCCCCCCCTGCGCGGCCCGTTTTTTGTCACCGACATTGCCTGTTTGGATCGTAGGCGATTACGAGGCAGCGCTGCAACCGTCCGTCCTCGATTAGCAGCAGCCGTGTACCATGTCGACACGCCATGTCGAGGCGCATTCCCCCCACCCTGCTGCGGCCATAGACTCTGGCATCGATGCAGGCTCGTCGTCCGAGTTCGACCAGGACAACAGCGCCGGCCACGCGCTCGTCGCCCATGACGACGACACGAGCGAGGCGTCGACGGATGAAGGGTAAATTGGCGCGCTGACCGCATCCCACGGCATCGCACCCATTGTTAACGCCGTGTGCACAGCTATGCCGACTCGGACGCCTCGTCGTTCCTCTCGTCCATTCTCTCCGAAGTGCGCCGTGGAGTGGAAATCGAAGGCCGCCTGTACCCCAGCTACGGCAAGCATGCCTACGGCATGCCCATGGACGAAAAGGAGCTCGACCGCAACGATCTCCAGCACCACAAGTACACCCTCTTGCTGCGCGACCGCCTCTTTGTCGCGCCCGTGCCAGAATCGACGTTGGAAGACGCAAACTGCCGTGTCCTCGACCTGGGGACCGGCACTGGCATCTGGGCCATAGACATGGCGGACAAGTACCCCAACGCAGAGATCCTTGGTGTAGACATTGCAGCCACGCAGCCGTCGTTTGTTCCGCCAAACTGCATCTTTGAGATTGACGACGTCGAGGAAGACTGGCCCTATCGCCCTGCCCATTTCGACTTTATCCACGGCCGCGACCTCATGACGGCTATTCGCGACTGGCCCCGCGTGATTGCGCAGGCGTATGCGCACCTCAAACCAGGCGGCTGGATACAGCTGGCCAGCACCATACCTGGACCGCGCACCGACGATAACACGATACCCGAGAACAGCGGCTACGTGGAAACGGCCCGAGTGTACTTTGAAATTGCGGAGAAGATGGGGGCGCCACTCGCCGCGCCACGCGACTGGAATGCGCAGATGAAAGAAGCCGGCTTCATCAATGTTCAAGATGAAGTATACAAGTTGCCCATGGGCCCCTGGCCTCGATCAAAGCGGTTGCGAACTGTCGGCAAGCTGGAGCAGATTATGATTCTCGAAGGCGGGTTTGAGGCGTACATGCTGCGCGGATACACGCAGGTGTTGGGTGGCAAGGTAGAGGACCTGCAGATTATTTTGGCTCTGGCGAAAAGAGAGGTGAGGGATCCGTCGGTTCATACCTATGTGCAGTTTCATATTACATACGGGCAGAAGCCACTGTAGGTGTAGTGATTAGCAGAATTTCATTCATGACACAAAGCAATGGTTTTGTAAGCCACCAAAGCTGAGCGACTGTCTACATTACACTATTTACAGCAGCAATACACAAAGCAAAGTACTGTGTAAAGTCTCCAGTCATTTGTACAGGGAGGCCCTTGCAGGACAGACAGGGGGGGGGGGAACATGGTTTGGACGCTAGTTTCAAACAGCCTAGCGCATGTCCTCGCTGTCTCGGGAGCTTTCCGCGCTGACAGCATCCATCCATCCATTCATCCATTCGAGAAAGCCACGGCCACGCGGGACATTATACACACCACTCGGAGCCATCTTACACAAGCACAATTCTCATACCGCTGTGAAATAGTTGGGTTTGTAATTAACCCTATACCATTGTCACCCTTGGGCGCTGCAGCTCTCGTCAGCCCAAAACTACACCACTCCCGCCTCTGCCAGCCCTCACTTCTTCTCCACTGACATCCGCCAAGAGAGAGCACTGCATCAAGTCCTCTACTCTATTCGAAACCAACATCTTCTTTCTTTGCTTCAAGTCTGCTTCGACTCGGTTGCATCCCCACCGCCAAGTAGTGTATTCGCGCTCAATTGAGGCAGTTTCCAGGCCCTATACCCGATTAGGCAGCGCATATCCAGAGCACCCTGTTGGAGACAGCCAGTCTATCCGACAAAGAGACGCGTCTTCGGGGCCATCGATTGCGTGAGAATCACACATGATGCGGGGCACTTTGACATTGAAGCTCTTGAGCTTGCTTCTTTTCTCCCTCTCCCCCGTCTCTTTAGTTTGCGCCTCAGAACAACAACCGTTTGAATTCGGCGAAATGTCTGCACCACAGTACACGCTTCCTCCGCTTCCCTATGCATATGATGTTAGTATTTCCATCATCATCCATCTCATTGCCGTACTCATAGCTTTGCAGGCATTGGAGCCGCATATTTCTGCCCAGATCATGGAGCTACATCACAGCAAGCACCATCAGACATATATCACCAACCTGAATGGTCTTCTCAAGACCCAGGCTGAGGCTATCTCGACCCTCGACATCACATCCCAGGTTTCGATCCAGCAAGGCATCAAGTTCAACGCTGGTGGTCACATCAACCATTCCCTCTTCTGGCAGAACCTTGCCCCAACCAGCTCAAACGAGGCCAAGAGCTCTGCTGCACCACAGCTCATCAAGCAGATCAAGGCCACCTGGGGCGATGAAGACAAGTTTAAGGAGGCCTTCAACACTGCTCTGCTGGGAATCCAGGGCAGTGGTTGGGGCTGGCTTGTCAAGACTGAGGTTGGCAAGGAACAGCGACTCTCTATCGTGACTACCAAGGACCAGGATCCTGTGGTTGGCAAAGGCGAGACTCCCATCTTTGGCGTCGACATGGTATGTTAACATTGCGCTTTGACATTTTGATGAATGTGTGACTGAGTTGATATCGTAGTGGGAACATGCGTACTACCTGCAGTACCAGAATGGCAAGGCAGCCTACGTGAAGAACATCTGGAACGTGATCAATTGGAAGACGGCCGAGGAACGCTACTTGGGATCGCGCGCCGACGCGTTCAGTGTGCTCAAAGCGTCGATCTGATTACAACCCAACTATCGTGCATTGAAAGAATAAAGTGTTGAGAACATGGTAGTGTCTCGATGTGTACTTAGACGGCCTGTTTTGATTTGGAAAAAAAGTGAATCCATAGCACCGTGCTGGCTGCGCTCAGTCCGCCTCGGTCCAATTGGGTACTCCCGAAACAAACTTGCTCAAAGAAACTACCTCATTCACCCTCAGAATGTTTGACCTCCCTTGGCTAATAAATTAATCGACGCGCAATCTCCAAAGCGACGTCATTTCGTGAGCACCTAAAAGTCTCCATGTTTTCCGATTTTTTTTATCTTGACTTCTTTTCTCGCCATCGCATCCATTCATTCAGTCTCTACCATCTCATTCAATCACCACACCAAAATTCTAATCGAAGCACCACACACCTGTCCAACATGTGCAACGGAGAATCCACCCGCGTAACCCAAGGCGGCTCCATCGCCGTCCTACATCCAACCCCGCCCTCCCCACTCCTCCGCCGCACACACTCATCCTCTTCTTCCTCCTCATCCGTCTCCAGCTCCTCAGACGACGAAATACAACAAGAAGAAATCCTACTCTACTTCACCAATCCTCTTTCCAAAACATCCAGCACAAACGTTGAAATGGCTGGGTTCGATCATCAAACAACACATGCGGCCTGGGTCGTGATACAGTACGTTTTTCTTTTCCTTTGCACACTACATACACTAGTACGACCTATGGAATGCTACTAACGCACATGTAGCCGCGACGGCGATCTCTCGTCTTCTTCCTCTACACAACGGTCCAGCGCATTCTGCTCCTTCCCAATCAAATCGCAAAACGGGCAGTGGGAACTCGAACGCAAACTCGAGCTGGGTGTTGGAGAAAGGGGCATTATCGGGAGGAGGGTGTCGGTGTTGAGTGGGGCGCAGGAAGTGCTTGCGCAGGGTGTCATTGGGTGGAACTGATAGGAGGGGCATGCAAGTACTGTTACTGCCATGTTTAATCACTATCTTTGGGTTCATGGATGCATTGGGACGGTGTTTGATTGGGCATTTTGGAGGCATTGGACTGGAAATGGTATTTTTTGGTCTTTGGGTAGAGAATGGATTACTATTTTTGTAAGAAGGCTATCTCGTTGATACGTGAATTCTGGAAACTTGGACTAAGCAGGCTACTAGCCTAGTACAAATAGTGGTTTTTACTACGAAATACTGGAAAAAAAAGCATGATGAGTTATGCAGAAGGAATGCAAAGTGTTAAGCGGGCTTCATGATGTCTGTATTGGGCGCTCCTTTTTCCACCTTTTCCCGCCGACTGAGAGGTATTTCAGGGGTGTAGGCTAGGACTGATAGTTACTAGACGGCCCACGTGACGTCATCGATATCCCGAACCTACTATGTACGTAGATCAGCACTACTGCTCGGCCGGAAAATAGTCTGCGTTCCACCTTTTCCGCGCACTGTATAGAGGTAGTAGAAGCTTGATGCAAAGACCACAGCATATGTTAGCAATGGGAAAGATTTTCTTAGTGGGCAGTGCTAGGCATATATTCGAGTCGGTGAAGAGTCGAGTCCTCGCAATTATGCATACGGTGTAAAAGTGCCAGTCTCCAAGTCACGTGCGAGCCACGGCCTCGGCCAAACGTCGATTAAAAGCGCATCTTGCTGCGTGCCAACTCCTCACATTCCACACCAAAGCAACGGTAATTTCATAGATCCAACAATCAGTTACATATCTGCGCGCCTCCTCTCTCACCATGGCTGCCGACTCTGCCGAAACGGCGCCTTCTCTACCGTACCACGAACCAGACATCATCACAATCCTCATCCTCACTTCGTTCCTGCTGCTACTCAACGTCATCAATTCCATATTCGACAAGTTCCTCTACTGCGGCCTCCTCGGCCAAATCGCTGTCGGCATCGCATGGGGCACTCCAGGCGCGAAGATACTTTCGTCCAACGTCCAAGATGCCGTGGTTCAGTTGGGATATCTGGGGTTGCTACTACTTGTATTTGAAGGTACAAACAATATTCCCTTTTGCATCTTTGCTTTTAGCGCGTTTCCTAAACGCGAAGATTTCGTCCTGCACATGCTAAGTCGTGTGGAAAGGTGGCCTACATACCTCGTTCCAATCGCTAAAAGCAAATCTACTGCTATCATCCGGTGTCGCGTTGACGGGAATCGCCTTGCCCGTGGGCTTGTCGTATACCCTCCAAGGCCTACTCGACGCGACGCCGTTGCAAGCTTTTGCCGCTGGAGCAGCATTGTGCTCAACCAGTCTTGGCACAACATTCACCGTTCTAGCGTCGAGTGGTTTGTCGGCGTCCAGACTGGGTGTTGTGCTGACGAGTGCGGCTATGATGGATGATGTTGTGGGACTCGTCATGGTGCAAGTGATTTCTAACTTGGGTGGAAGCAACTTTAGTTGGGTTGTTGTTGTGCGCCCGGTTCTTGTGTCGGTAGCATTTGCGCTGGTTGTACCTGTTGCTTGCCTCTTTATTGCGAGACCAGTCACTATACAGATTAACAAGTACCGCGAAACGCATTCAGATGAGACCTTGGAAAACCTTCTGCGGAAGCCCCAGACAGCCTTTGTGCTGCACACTCTCCTTTTGGTTGGCTTGGTTGTTGGTGCAACCTATGCTGGGACTTCGAACCTTTTCGCCGCGTATGTCGCCGGAGCAAGCATTAGTTGGTGGGACTCTGAAGTGGCCCATCCAGTTGTTAAGACAACAGTACAAGGAGCTGCAGCTGTTGGTGAAAAGAGCACGATGCCTACTGATCCTTCTCCAGAGCCGTCGAATGGCTCACAAGGCTCCGATGAAATCCAAAACTCTATGCAGAGTACATCAACCTCCAAAGCCGAAGAAGCGCCCCAGGATCCATCGGAAACACAACCCGTTGAAACATCAAGTACATTCAATGGCGACGAAGCCACATCTGGATCCGCCATCTATCACCGATACTACCACCCCGCTGTTTCCAAAATCCTCCAGCCCTTTTTCTTCGCTTCTATCGGATTTTCTATCCCAATCACCCGCATGTTCAGAGGCGCCATTGTATGGCGCGGTCTCGTCTATACCATTCTCATGCTCCTCGGCAAGGTCGCCTGCGGCCTCTGGCTCGTCCGGTTCCCCATTGCACCAGCCAAAGGCAATGTAAGGCGCGTATTGTCCAAACTAAAACAGCTATACGTCCCGCATTTTTGGTCTACAAGCACAAGCACAGCAACGCCTAGGCCGAACAGCGCAAGAGAAACGACCACGAGTGCATCGACGCGCGCTTCGCCGAACCCATCAAAGCCGTTTTCACTTCACCCTCCCCTCATTATCGCTCTTGCAATGTGTTCACGTGGCGAGATTGGATTCCTTATATCTGGTGTTGCAGAATCAAAAGGCATCTTCGCCTCACCAAATGATGTCTCGACTGACTCGTCGAATATCTTTCTCGTGGTGACATGGGCGATTGTTCTGTGTACGATTATTGGCCCCTTGGGTGTTGGAATGTCGGTTCGGAGGGTGAAGATACTGGAGGAGCGCAAGAATCGAGCGCATCAGGGAAGTGGGAGGAACGTACTTGGTGTTTGGGGGGTCGAATGAAGAGAGTGGGGTGTGTTTGTCTCGGGAGATGTATGTAAACAAGGGGTTTCTTTTGGATAGATACATTACTTGTTTGTGAAAAAGTACGAAGTAAGATCTTTCGAAGCTAGTGTACATGCTACTACCTGGGGATTGCAACGTGACAGATTCCAAACGTAATGATATAAATATCAACCAAATTTGTCCAGAAAAACTGTCCATCATTCGATACAGATTTCATCCAAATGGAGTTCATCGGTCGTTTACATGGTGAGAAGAGAGCAATATATAATTTCCATCGCGTGATCACTCCAGTCACGTGTGTTTACTATTATAGCATTCACCATGGCACATTCACTTCAATCTGAGATTGCCTTGGCAATAATTTCCCGTGTACCATAAAAATACCCTCTCGACTATCATTCTGTCGGTTTTTGTTCCGCCTCGATTCAAGTCACTCGTTTCTGTAAGATCGACTCGCGAACACTCTCAAACAAGTCACTCCTTTCTACATCTCTCATCCCACCTCCAAGATGAACTCACTCTCTTTCCTCCTCCTCTACCTCTCCTTTATATCCTTCTCAACTGCCTCCCCCATGACCCACTCGACCAACCTAACCACCCGCTCCCCCCCTCAAATTCCCACCCACGAGCGCCGCGGCATTGCCTACAACAACGCCAAACTACTCTCCCTCTTCGCCCAACCCGGCTCACACATCACCTGGCGCTATAACTGGGACTCGTCGACCGCTTCATCCCCAACGACATTCGACTTCACGCCCATGCTGCACTCTGTGCGGTCCGACCACACAAAAGTCTGGAAGACCAACGCCGAAGCCGTCGTACAGAAGAACTGGGAGCAGGGACGAGCAACGTGGGTCTTGGGGTTTAATGAGCCGGATAATTGCATGTACGTTGCCCCCCCTCTTTCCTTTTCCTTGCCACTACTACTCTTTCCGACGATAGTAGGGAAATATGAAACTGACAGGCGCGATACAAAAGACCCAACACGGGCGGTTCCTGCATCGACGTCGCAACTGCCGTCGCAGCGTGGAAACAGTACCTGCAGCCGCTTGCAGCGTCCAGTCGCAATGTCTATCTCGGATCTCCAGCTGTTACAAATGCGAGAGCGACGGATACCGCGGGGTTGGGGTGGTTGGCGCGGTTTCTGCACGACTGTGCTGGGTGCAGTGTTGATTTTGTCAATATTCACTGGTACGTCTTTGCCCCTATCATCATCATCATCATCATCATCTCTCTCGAACTTGCCAACAACTAACATCCGGCGTGTAAAGGTACGGCGTCGCCAACGTGCAGTCCTTCAAAGCCCATATCGATGCGACAAGAAAGGTAGCGCAGGGCCGGCCGATTTGGATTACAGAGTTCAAGCCCGAGGGGACGGTGGAACAGATTCGCCGGTTTCTAGAGGAGGTGATGCCTTGGATGGATGAGAGTCCGGATGTGCATCGGTATGCGTATTTCATGGCTACGCCGGGCGAGGGATTCTTAGTTGATGGAAATGGTGGAGCGTTGAGTGAGATTGGGAGGACGTTTGCTTTCTTCCATCGGCACTGAATTCGTCGTCGTTGTGGTACAGATGGTGGATTATATAGCCATGGGATATAGTATGCGGGATACATGGAGGTGGTATACACGGGATATTCTGGAAGAATCACCATAGATTAGTGGGTAACACCTCGAAATGTGTTCTGAGCCTACTGCTTGGTATCGAAAAGGAAGAGAGAGAAAAGAAATTCAAATCAAATGGAGACATCGATTGTAGCATTACTACATCTCTTATGATGTATGCGTTTCTACACCATATGCACCCTCATCCCCCCGGGGTCCAAGGCTGACCAATAGCCTTCCTTAATCCACCCTCGAAAACATCAATTGTCTCATTCATACCCATGCCACTCGCAATGGCCAGCTGCAACATGATCCTCGCCTGGGTCGGATGTACGAAGCCAGATTTGGCGAAATTGGGTCTGCGCGCCGGGCTCAACGGGCCATATGGGCTTCTCGTCCCGACTACAATCTGCAAGCCCTTTTTCAAAGCTTCAGATATCTCATCCTGACCACTAGGAATGCCGCCATTGCCCGTTCCGGCAATGACTACGCCCTGAGCGCCATTCTCTTGCGCATTGAGTACAAGCTTGCCGTCGAATTCACGGGCTGCGTACAAAATATCGACTTTGGGTAGACGAGGAAAGGATGCATGTGACGACACAGTGTTGATGTCAAAGTAATGCTTGAACAACGGTTGACTAGGCGAATTGTAAAAAACAGGTAAACTGTTTGTGAACAAGCCCAGGTCGCCGCCGGCATTTGCACCAAAAGCATCGGGATTCGTAGAATGCAGCTTCGTAACCCAGTAGCCGGGTATGATGCGCGCGTTGAAGGCGACCATGACACCTCGGTCACGTGAGGCAGGGCTTGCAGCCAGCATGACTGCGTCGAAGAAGTTTGCGTCGCCTTCATAGGAGAGGTGCGTGAAAGGGCGCATACTGCCGGTGGCTACGATGGGCTTGCCGCAATTTACTAGACTGTCCATTAGGAAAGCAGTTTCCTCCAGGGAGTTGGTTCCATGTGTGAATACGGCGCCCAGAATGTCGCTGTCGGGGGAGCAGAGAGCATCATGTGCGAAGCGCGTCATGTTCATGACGAGGGCGTCGTTGGTGCCTGTAGACCCATTGCCTTGAGTTGTCCAATTCGACACAGCGAGCTGTGTGTGATTAAGTAGGTACGGGTTTCGGGCGACGATGTCTTCTCCCGTTATGCCGATTTGTCCGTATTGAGTGTCATCTAGAGCGCCGTAGATGGATCCTCCTGATATGGTTCCTCCCGTAAACAGGATGCTGTGAAATACAATTAGTGAGAGCCATAGCCTCAGACGACTATACGCACAGAACTTTGGGCAAGGAGCTGTTTCCACCAAGCCATGTTAGACCAAGGCGTTCGCTCGCTGTAGTTGTCTGGCGTCGTGCAATGGGCTCGGCAGTTGTAGGTACAGCACCGAAGATGGCGCTGAGGGCAGCAGCAGCAACCAGACCGGGAAGCTGCATTTTGAGGATGACAAAGTGCTCCCAACAATCTGATATCCCCTGACATGAAGTCAAGCTTTATAGATTCCTATGCTCATTCCACAGACTCGGCCAAGTTCCCCGCAACGATCCAATGTTACAGTATCGCTGACAGGTAATGGCGTGTCGTAAGCATTGAGAACGACATCATGCATACCGAGTTGTGGCGCTATTGTCAATGGGGAAGGTGTATGTATCGTGGTGAAAGGGTGCTGATAAAAGCCGTTATCGTGCTTGGGATGCAGTGCTCGGAGGAGCGAGGCTACCAAGTAGTACGCTGCAAGCCCCACGTATGCCAAGAGCGGGGACCATCAAGACTGCCGGGTGCCTGCATGCTTCATCTTGCCAGGGTAGGATGGCGTCTGTGATAACGAATCGAGTTTTGAGAAGATGCTGTAAAAGCTGGCCTATCTTTGGTTGAGACAGTCAAGTCCAGGCTTGTGGCCTTGGCGTTTCCATGTCTTCCTGCGGAATGCTTTGCCAGCGTCCGAGTAAAGACGCTGCCAAGACTCCATCCACGTGACCCACGCCCGCGAAGCAAAAAACAAAAAGCTACATCAAAAAACATACAACAGCGGGGATTCGCCAGTGGTCACCCACCTGACTACTAGTCCGCCGGTCGAAGACTTAACGTACGGAGAACGAACGGGATCCAGTGCTAGATTTCGCCGATGGTCGTATGTGCCAGAAAAATAAAAATGACCGAGTGTCATTTTTGAGTAGCTTGATATTTCGCGGACTTGCATATTCAAGAGGGCTCACGTGATGCTATCGATAAGACAAAGCTTGGCACTATCACACGGCTCACTCCATTGAGAATTCAGCCAGGATAGTGGACCAGATAGATATTAGTAAAGGACGTGTTCTTGCAGCATGGCAGTTACTTGGGGGTATGGATCTAGAATCCATTTCTTATCGTGATAGATAACATCGATGAAAGGAGATCTATATTTCGCACAAGAATCTTGCTCGTGCAAATACGGTATGGGTTGCAACAAGCAACTCGTTGGGTTGAACATTGAACAGCAGCCGGACACAGAACTTGATGATCAATCTCTTTGTGGGAGGGTATATTTGGCCATATAATACACAACTCTTGTACATTGGTTACATCTTGCCTCCAGTAAGCTCCTCGGCAAGCTTCTTGACTCGCTCCTTGGCGAGACCAACGCCCTCGCCGCCCTTGAGCTTTTGTAGCATATCGCCCACACCCTCGGGCATAGGTCCGTGCCATGGACTGAGCCCCTCGTTGCCTGCATGTCTGGGGCCCATGTTGCCTCTCATATCCCAGCCCATGGGCGACTCTTCTGTGCCAAAAGCCTTGTCAATGGCTTCGTCCAGCTGTTGTTCGTCTACAATGAATTCGCGTGCATTGGTGTACAGGTCGTGGAGACGCGATGCGCGCATGGCGTCCACCTTTGCCATTCGACGTTGGTAGGCTCTGCTGCGGGCCTTGGAGATGTCTTTTCGCGGGGGCAGGCTGTCTGTGAGAAAGTCGCGGATGCCCTTGGACACGGAGTTCTCAGTCAAGATGTCGACTTCGCGGCGGGGCGCCATGGCTAGCTCGCGCCTCTGCGCACCAATGGCCTGGATCTTGGCCATGTACTGTGCCTCTGATGTCACTTTTCGCTCGTGCAGCTGCTTGACACCCTCTTTCAAGTTTTCTCTCCTCTTTTCCGCCAGCCGTTGCTTGTACAGCCGGTACTCGGCATCTCTGCTATATGGACCCGGCACTTTTACTTCCTTGGGCTCCCGCGCCGTCTTTCCCAGGAAAACATCTGATTCCTTCGGGTGCTTATTCCTCGTCTTGAATATATCGCGTGGAATGGGCAGGTGGCCTTTTACTGTGGGTTTGGCCGGGTAGGTGGGCTGCAATGGCTTGGGGACTTCGACATAATTTGGAGATTGCGGGCCGAGGGCGAGTGACGGTGGTGTAGAGGAAAATGCGCGGCCGCCCAGGCTGGCACCGGACCCATTGAGGGCCGGGGTGGGAGAAGGAGACGTCCAGGCAAAGCGGACAGGTATCCGCGGCGGCATTGCGATGGTAGTGAGGGAGCCAAAGCAATGCGGAGGTGCGGGCGTGGTGTTGGTCGGCCTGGCTGTCTTCGAAAATGTCGGTGCCAAGCCGGCTTAGCTCCACCCAGACTAGCTCCGCCTCTCAAAAAAAGTTGTCCATTCCCATATTCGCGATCTTCCTTCACTCTTCGCCCTTCCACCTCTTGTCAATCCCCACCCAAAGGAAGCAGAGCCAACATGGGAGTTCACAAGAAAGAGAAGAGCCGCCGCGAGCGCGAGGGCAAGGCGCACGATGGCATGGCCAATGTCAAGGTCAAGGGCACCAACTTTTATCGGTATGTATACATCCACACTACTATGCGCCCTGTAGATGCTAACAGCTCACAGCGATGCGAAAAAGGTAAAGGTGCTCAAGCGCCTTACCGATGGCAAGGCCGAGCGCAATGCCAAGGGAGACATCACAAAGGCCGCCGTCTACCAGAGCCGTGATGCGCCCGTCGCCCGCGTCGAGCCCAATCGCAAATGGTTCAACAACACGCGAGTGATTTCTCAAGATGCCCTCGAGAGCTTCCGGTCCGCTGTTCAGGCTCAGGCTGCCGACCCCAGCACATATCTCATGAAGCGCAACAAGCTGCCCATGAGCCTGATTGAGACGCCGGGCCAAATTCCTGGTCTGAAGCAGCATGCGGCCAAGATTGCTGTCGACAGCCAGCCCTTTTCAGACACATTTGGCCCCAAGGCCCAGCGGAAGCGACCAAAGCTTGACTTTAGTTCCATTGAGGATCTTGCCGGCCGAACTGACAGCATGCACGAAAACTACGTCGAGCGCCTTGAGCAGGCCAAGCTGTTGTCAGGTACCTCGGGCGAAGAAAAGGAGGGCGACAATGATACTCCCAATGGCGAGCTCACATCAGCTCGAGAATTCATCTTCATGAAGGGAACCTCGAAGCGCATCTGGAACGAACTCTATAAGGTAAGAGCCTTCACTCAAGGTGGCCCTAGCTCCCTGCTGACCCTTCTCTGTTCAGGTCATTGATTCCTCCGATGTCATCTTACATGTCCTCGACGCCAGAGATCCCGACGGTACACGGTGTCGATCAGTTGAGAAATACATCCGCACAGAAGCCCCCCACAAGCACCTAGTCTTTGTCCTTAACAAGGTTGACCTGGTGCCCTCCAAAGTAGCTGTAAGTTCCCTCTTAACAACCCTTCCCTCTATTGTCCACACCCTCCTTAAGTCAAGGACCTTTTCCTCTGCTATGATTACGGTTCTGTTACAAGTTGGGAAGAGCAAAAGCGGCTCGCCGGCCCAAGATCGTCTTGATTGCGGGTCGATTGGCAACCGTCCTGGTTGTCAGTCAATAGAGTCACGCGTGATTTGTTTGAGTTGAGGACCGTCTCTGCACTCGCAGCTTCATGGCGGTACTCTTAGTAATATTTCACACATTCCATTGTCGATATACAAGACTTCTTGTTTCACGAATGGACAAAGCTAACACCGCTTAGGCCGCATGGGTACGCCATCTGAGTCGTGAATTCCCAACACTTGGTACGTTTTGTTGTTACTATATTATGTACCTGGTCCATGGACTAACCACAAGGACAGCTTTCCACGCCTCAATCAATAACAGCTTTGGCAAGGGATCCCTCATTGCTCTTCTCCGTCAGTTCAGCTCTCTTCACAGTGACCGCAAACAAATTTCGGTTGGCATGGTTGGCTACCCAAATACTGGAAAGTCATCCATCATCAACACACTTCGAAAGAAGAAGGTATGCGTTGTCGCGCCTATTGCTGGTGAGACCAAGGTGTGGCAGTACATTACTTTGATGAAGCGCATCTATATGATCGACTGTCCGGGTATTGTCCCACCGAACCAAAACGACACGGACGAAGATCTTCTGCTGCGTGGTAGTGTTCGCGTAGAGAATGTCGAGTACCCGGCGCAGTATATTGAGGCTGTCTTGAGGAAGGTTCAGCCCAAACACCTCCAAAGAACTTACGATATCAAGGAGAAGGACTATGAGAACGACGCTGTGCGATTCTTGGAAGTATTGTGCAGAAAGAGTGGTCGTCTGCTCAAGGGAGGCGAGGCTGACATTGACGGTGCTGCCAAGATGGTTCTTAACGACTGGATAAGAGGAAAGCTCCCTTGGTTCACTCCACCACCCTTCAAGGAGGGTGAAGAGACTGGACCTGTCAATGAGAAGCGTGACGGCAAACTTGGTGAGATGAGCAAAAAGCGCAAGCGTGACGGCGAAAGCCAAGCTACCGGAAGTGTGGCAGCGACTACCGATGCAAGCGGCGCAGCTCAAGACCAGATCGACGACGATGATGACGACGATTTTGGTGGCTTCAGCGAGGATGATGATGTGGAAGAAGATGATGATGAAGATTCGGAAGATGAAGAGGGCGGTGCCACACTCGAGGGTGCCGAGGATGACGCAAGCGAAGATGATGAGGCTGTTGAGCAAGAGCTTGCTGCCATATCAGAAGCGCTCACAAAAGCAAAAAAGCGTCAACGGAAAACATGATGACCATTAAAAGAAGAATAATTTTGATTCAAATGATACCCCAACATTACGACGCATCATCACAATGCATAGACCAAGTTCGCCGATTTCATCCTCGTCCCTCAGAAAGTGTGAGTTCACGCGTAGTCACGGGTGATAATATTGCTATTGAGAGAGAAAGTGTACTCATTCAAACATAGTTTTCCATTGGAAGCGTTGCTATCAAGAGACAATCAAGGAATTAAGGTTTACGTCGCGCCCTCGGGCCGACTACAATCCGGTGTGACATCGATGAGTGTCTACTCTAAAACCAAGGCAACCTTTTGTTTCAGCATAGACTTCAATCCTTCTAGGTGATATCATAAAAACAGGTAAAGAAATGGTCTTCGATCCGAGAGCCCCGTACTCTACCGACATGGTAGCACTTAGTATCTCGTGATGGCTTTGTCTTACTGGTAGGTGGTGTTTCGCGTGAGTTCTCTTCGTGACACATTGGTGTTTGCTGTCCCAAGCTGATTGGAGTTTGTAGTACCTTGCGTGCTTTGGTGTCGCTTTCTCACGTCGAACACGTCCAACATCATCTCTGCAGTCACTTGAGCAGGGCGAACAGAAAATATCACCGTGTGGGACACATACGCGTCTGACACAACTACCGTAGTACACATAATGTTCTGCTGCGGGGCAGAGTAATATGTAAGCCGTGCCCTTCCGGTACATATATCAAAGACACTCCGGTCCCTGCATATATAAAACTAACAGCAGTATGGACAAGTCAAGCTCTTTAGTCAAACTTGCGCAAAAGATCCTTGAAGAGGCAGAGAAAGTGGAAGCTGGTGGTAATGGCGAGGGGTCCACTGATGCTCTCTTTGGAGCAACGCAGGAGTTGCAAACGTCTCTACTGACAGCACCGAAGCTACTTGAACAGCACCAGATCCGCTGCCAATGTCTCGCTTGTTTGAAATGGTTGGCGAGATTTGATATCTTCAGTCATGTCCCCGCTGATCTCAGTCCTATTGCCTATACGGACCTCGCGGCCAAAGCGAATGTGCCCGTCAGGCGGCTGCAGTCAGTCGTGCGGATGGTCATGACGGATGGGATTTTTTTCGAACCCTCACCAACGGAAATTGCACACACCCAACTATCAGCATCGTTCGCAGCAGATAGCTCCCTTCTAGATTGGGCTTCCTTTATATTGAGTTACCAAGCTCCTGTGGCATATCAGTTCACTGAAGCAACAGTCAAATGGCCCAACCCGGTAGCCAAGCACGAGACAGCGTTCAACCTGGCCCTCAACACCGACTTGACTTTTTTCGAGTACTTGGAAGCCCATCCAGACATGACAAAGGCCTTCGCAGGCTACATGCGTGGTTTGCAAAGAAGCCGAATGGGCAAACTCCAGCACGTTGTCGATGGCTTCGACTGGGCCAACCTGGGCGAAGCAAACATAGTCGACGTTGGCGGTTCGACTGCACACGCATCTATTGCACTAGCCTCCGCCTTTCCAGACCTCCACTTCACCATCCAGGATCTCCCCGAGGTAGTCCAAGAAGGCAAAGCCAAACTACCCCATTTTGCCGACGCCTCTGTAACCTCACGCATCAACTTCTCGGTCCATGACTTCCTCACACCTCAGCAACCCCTACCCAATGGTCTCAAACCCGACATCTTCTTTCTCCGCAGAATCCTACACAACTGGCCCGACCACCAGGCCCGCGAAATCCTCAATCACCTCGCCGTCGCCCTACACGATAGTGGTAATCCCCACGCCCGCATTCTCGTCATGGAGTCGATTTTACCTCTCCCCGGCACCCTTCCTCGCTTCGAAGATGCCTATTTGCGCGTACGTGATCTGACCATGAACCAGCTGTTTAATAGTAGGGAGCGTGAGTTGGAGGAGTGGAGGGGACTTTTTGCGAGTACGGAGCCGAAGTTGGAACTCAGGGGGTGGAAGCACCCGCCTGGAAGTGACATGGCGGTTATGGAGGTGGCTTTGGTCGGAGGGGAATGAGTGTTTGAGGTAATGGTGATGGGGTTGGGTAGGGCCAGTAATAATGCGGAAATGTTGGTAGTTTGAGACTTGCTGTGCGTGAAGGATTGGCGTGTCTAGAACATAGAAAGAAAAATCCTAATCTATTGTTCTGCGGAGATAACATTAGTGAAATGACTCCTAAAATGCCTTTGTTCACTTCAGTGTGGGACGTCTCACTATCTCCTTAATGGGTGATATGCTTTGTACACCTGTATTACTCCCTCAGTACTTTGAACTAGATCAAAAAAAGATAGTAATCTCCCCACCCCCCCCCCCC